TTGATAGCCCTTCATTAAGAGATTTGAATGATATTACATGTGTGAAAATATATATATACACGTTCTTTCTCTTACAATTAAGGCAAAATTGCAAACACGTGCGCGCTTATATTTATGCACTCATGCATGCAACTGTCAAGTTACCGGACGTACGTGAATAACAATAGAATAGATACACAGAAACTAGTTTCCCTAGACAAAAATCATGAACAAGCCTTGTGATCTACTTTCACGTACGCGAGCTACGTATCATCAGCGTTACTGATGCTGTGACCGCAGTAAGAGCATCTATTACATTCTAGTACGTAATCAATTTTATGCAAGAAGAAAGAACGGATAACTCCATCTGATTATATGTTCCACTTGATTCTCTTCGCAGTTGTATACTAGGCATTGTACATATAAATGTCTTAATATTTATTAAAGAGGTTTTATAATGAATGTGCTGACATGTTCATCATAATTTTTATATGTAAAAATAATTATTCGTATGTTTTTATCAATAACAATTACTTTAATAGAGTTTTACGTGTAATAATAAGATCAAGTTGTACGGAAGGATTTTTTATCATAAAAGTTTATTTCTAAAATAAATTTTTTTTCGAAATTTGAGTTAAACTAATGTTGTTTTACATTTCGCAGCTTTAATTTCTGTCAAGGACGATTCTCGAGCGAAAAAATGATAAATATACGACATCAGATTGAAACGACAGAAATATGACTGCGGATAGATACGTTTTTGAGTACTTGAGTACTTTGTGGTAGATGCTCAAGTCGGCAATGCTCGCAGAAGTTGGCGGTCGCCTTCGGCGAATGCAATGATCCGTTATTCACGCTGTCGTAAGTTGAAATGTCTTGAGGAAACTTTGTCGTATCCTGGAAGCGTGTAATGCGCAAGATATTCCTACTTATACTCGATCTTTCTCTCTCGAGTTTGCGTCACGCCCGAATATAAAATGCGATAGCAGCGGCTTTTAGTTTCCGCAACATGCAATAGATTCCGATCAACGGAAGACGTCAGTAGAAGCGGAACATTGTACATATTTTCAAGTGCGAAGATTTACTGGAGACATATATTCTCATATGCTAAGTTAATCACTCGAGATCTGGCTTCGTTTCAATTTTCGTTCATTATGCTACGCTTGCATAATCTACGACCTCATTCTCGCAGTATGCGTTGAATACTTAGAAAAGTTAATTGAAATTTACTTTAAAGATGTTTTAAGAAACCGATGATACTGCTGAAAAATTATGGAAATGCGACGAAAGAAATATTAAATTAATATATATTCTTAAATAACATTTAAAATTCTTTTAAAGAAATTACGATATTATGAAGTAATTTCATCGCGACATTTAATAGCATATTAAATAGATATATTACTTAATTATACATTTTGTATAATACCAACAGAGTTATTAATTGCAAAATAATTGGAACTGCATATAATTACAGATTACATTCGATATATGAAAAACAAAATTGATTAATATTAATATAAATAAGGTTAATATTAATAAATTGTTGTTAAATCTTTTAGATTTATCTTTAGCAATTATTATTTGAGGAATTTTATATCGTTATTTGATAGTCACAATTACTCAATTTTTACATATTGCTACATATAATCATTGAATTATTATAAGTTTAATAACGTCAATATAATGTATTTGCATAGCTTATTATGCTAAAGCAAATACTATGTATATTTGTCATATTACGAAAAATATAACATTATTTAACATTATTATACATAGTGAAAAAATAAGTAATATAATATGCAGTAGTATAATTAAATGGAAAATTCGAAAATACATTATGTATTTTGTTTGTTATATTATTGTGATTAATAATATTCCTAATTGTAATAATGTTTTAGTCCCCCAAATGATCCGGCAGGATCCATCAGTGATGTCCTGGGCTCTTTGGATCAGTACTTTAACAACAACTTCGGCTGCCCTAGTAGCTGCTGCACTCTCCGCACTTTTGGCAGTTTTAAATACAGCTACTTCACCAAGATCGAAAATTCTATCCATTCCTGGCGTATATTTTATAAATATGTTAACGTGTAAGTGTACGTTTTAATACATACAAAAATAATTTCTTAATAATATTAAAGTACGCATAGAATAAAAACCAAAGCATTGTCATAAAAGGTCAAACAGTTCTCAAAATATTTTAAATTTGCAGAGAACTACATTTGAATTGTATGACTTATTTTCAGTGCTGATGTGCTTAGTTAGCACTTGTACTTGGTTAGCACAGTATTATACAAGACTATATGTCAATGTGCTTCCGAAGGAGGACATCGACAATATGTGGACTAGCGAGGGATCCGCTGAGCTTGGCTATTCATTTTGGTAAGACATTCTTTTTATCCAAAATAAAATTTCTATCTCTCGAATCAAGCAATGTATAGGCTACTAAGAATTAGACAATTTTTTGGTATTAATTTATTATTTATTATCAGATCAGATTTATGATTAAATTTTTTTAATCAATTTTTCGACTTTTTCATTGTAACTTAATTAAAAAGTCTATTAGATAGTAAGTATACTATTGTTTTATATATAAAGTTTAAAATAAAAATATTTAATAGTTTAATAATTAATTTTTTTTTAGATTAAATTATTAGATTAAACATACTTTCATTTACAGTCTTTTATATATTTCTTAATTTTCTCTATTAATTACAGAATGCCTTTTTAAAAATGTATTTTGATATAAATACTTTTATTTTTTATTCAATAAATATTTTTCTATTTAGGCTTGTTGTTAGTGCCGGTGTTGTACACCTTATCAGTATAGCACTAATCGGTTGGGGATCCGGCAGAGAAAAGGATGATCGTCTAGAACCGATACCTGCACTTGAGGAAAAAACAGCTGCAGCGATAATGTTATATTAATATATTATTGCTTCTCATAAATAATACGGAGACTCAATTATAAGGTAAATTAAAATTAATTAAAATTTAATTTGGTTTAATTTTAAATTGGTAGTGTCTACATCGAGACCGAATAAAGCTAATTAAGCAAAGATTAAACAATGCAATTTCGTTCTTGCAAATTAGATTTCTGCTTCGCATAATTCTCAAGTATCTGTCCTAAATAAGTTGTAATCATTCGCTTAGATATGATTTATTTGCAACAGGTATTGCATTTTTGTTTCGAATTAGAGCTTAAGGATAAACGTAATAGGTATAAGCATACTGTTCAATCCTGAAACGCGTTAATAAAGAACAGTACTTGCCGTCACTAGCTCAGAGTTTAAGTGACACGTGTACCGTCTATGTGTGACATATAATACGTATATTTTATATATTGATTGCGTCAATCCACTATAAATATTATGATTCTAAAGTAGTAATCGATAAATTTATGATGAATGTGCATTTTATATAGAACAACAATTGATTATGATTCTAAGTTATTGCTCACTTTATATGATATAAACATAGGAAACTTTGAGCATGGAAAAACGCTTTATTTAATTTAATCTATACATTACTTTTATCATAAGGCCGCAATCTAGATAATTATTGTTTCAGACTTTCATTAACAGATATATATATAAGTAATAATATATAAATATTCGTATATATAGACATACAGTGTATGTAAATCGTGCGTTATAAATTCAGATGTGCATTCTGTTTCAAGTTGTCTTTGAGTTGATAAATAGTTAAAATTTATTTTTCTTATATATATATATATATATATATATATATATATATATATACTATTGTTGTTCTTTTTTTACAAAGGCGATTACTTTGACTAGACTGGGCTCTTGAGAATTGAACAATTTTATATTATATAATATTATATAATATATTACTTATGAGAATAATACTTATTCAAATAATTAGAGAAGAACATTTAATAAGTAAAAACGTGCCTTTTCTTCGAGACATTCGAATTGTTTTAACAATTCTCGCGCGTGCGTGATATTGCTTCTTTTTTTATATAAAACATACCATTTTATTCATTTATTCATGGTCGTAATATATCGTATATGAGGTATATCATGAAATGTAAATACAATGAAAAAGCTTGTGTGTGTTCTCTTTGAGAATATATTTATTACAACAATGTCACGGGTGTAATAATAAAATGACGAACGAGATTACATTATGTATAATTCTCGTACATGTTTATTTCTATTATCTCGAGAGATCCTCGTTCTTACAAGCTATTTCATGGAAATGGCTTTATGTGTGTATATAATGGCAATCATTAATTATGTGTGGTAGGAAGAAAATGTACATTAAAATCATATATTCTTTTAAAGAAAAATATGTAATAAAACATGGGATAATATAAAAATATAACGAGAGATAGAATACATGATAGTTTTATTGATATCACCAAATCTTTGTTAGTCTTCATTATAGATTGGATCAGTTAAGTCAATTGAATATTTCAATCGCCATTTCTATTTTGTACAGTGATCAATATACTTTTTTATCATATCTAATTAAAATATTTTATTTCTTTAATTCCTGCTACATAATATTCAATGTGTGTGTACGTATGCAATGAATATATAAAATTATGCATAATATATAAGAAAAATGCGAAAGAAATAATTTTTAGCATACATTTAAATATTACATAACATACGTTCACGTAATTTCCTGTGTTAATTGCAATAAAATGCGAACAGAAATTGGAGAAGTGAGACATTTTAATTAGATGTAGTAACACATTGATTTTTTTGTGCACTTGAATTGTCTGTGACCAACTTAAAAATTAAAACTAAAGATATCAATAAATCTTGCATTTTACTCTTTTGTAAAATTTTTTATATTATGTCGCGTCTTTATACATATATGTATATGTAACATAAAAAATTACGCAAATATTGTGTAATACATATGTGAATGAGTTCTAAAAAGTTCTCTCGTATATCGCCCGAATCGATTACGATGATTAACTTTGTGCCTTTCCCTGATATACCCCTTTTTTGTCTGGAAGAATAGTAACACACAAAACAATATAGAATTGGATAGAGTATTTATTTTCGTATCTAATAAAAACTCCACCCACATATAATGTGGATTCTTAGATAATAAACATATAGAATTATCCGTGAATCCGATGTTAGCGCCGACTGACTTTTGACCAACCATCGTCTTCGAGTGGTCGTCTTCTATCGTCGGCTCTTGGCGGAGGTCTATCATCTCGTCTGGAAGGCACAAAAATTAAAATTTAATGATGCGATTAACACTGTAATACCGCAATGATGAAATTCGCCGAAAAATTGTGCAACAATGCAACTAAAGCTTTTTACTTATGTTATTACGATTTACGTATATACTCACTCGCGCTTATTAGAGACTGCTGGGTCTCTAGGAGCCTCTTGAGGCGGGTCGCGTTTTCGCCAATCTTGATTGGTGTTTCGCGATTCTCTGCCGGGCTCCTCACGACGATCGCGATAACCGCCACGACGATCAGATACTCTACCGCTTCGTTCTCGATCATCGCGTATCGTATCACGTGAAATTTCGCGTACCTGTAATTGTAATTAAATAGAATTATTTTCCTAAAGCACCAGACACACATAGATAGAGAAAAAGTAAATGATAATGTGATTAATACATTCGATAAAATGTAAAAAATACAGAAGATATAAGTAAGAATAAAAGAGAAGAGAGTTTTATATACATAGAACACTATATAATGCCCTGTATTGAGAATGTATGCTTACTCCACGTCCATCCACTCCACGGTCGCGGTCACGATCGCGATCCTCTCTTTTCTCAAAACCACGGTTGTCCAATCTATCTCGATCTCTTTTTTCTGAATCGTCTCTGTCGTAGTTGTCATCTTTTCTCCATTTATCCGCTGTGTCTTTTTTCCATCTGTCAGAATCGTCGCCTCTTCTCCATTTATCCATGTCGCGTCGTTCTGGTTCCCTTTTCTTCCACGAAGAATCCTCAATTTTCTCATCGCGTTTCCTCCAACGGTCCGATTCGTTTTTGAGTCCGTCGGATTCCTTATCAGCGTTGCGTCGCCATGATTCCATTGCTAGTAAGAATGAAAAATAAGATGAATTAAATTTCATTGATATGTATATTCAAAAAAAGCATCTATCAAAAAGAATATGAAAAGATACTCACTGGATTTTGGACCCTCGCGTTCACGATCGCGTTCACGATCGCGCTCACGATCGCGTTCACGATCACGATCACGATCACGCTCACGTTCACGATCATTATCGCCTCTTTCTGGACGTCGCCATGTTGATACCAGTTCTTTATCTCTTTGACGTTCCTCTTCTAATTTACGTTCGATCTCTGCTTCCTTGGCTCTGATAATTTCAGCTTGTTTCTTAAGTTTCGCCAAACGTTCGGCTTCCCTGGCTTCTTCTTCGGCCCGTCTAACTCTCTCCTCCTCTTCCCTCTTGGCCCTTTCCTCCTCCAAGCGTTTCTTCTCTTCTTCCTGTTTGATGCGCAATTCTTCCAATCGTCTTCGTTCCGCAGCTTCTGCACGTTCCTTTTCCCATTTCGTTTTACGTTCTGCCTTACGCTCCATTTTACGTTTTTGCAACCGCTTAACACGTTCCTCGTTCAATAATTTCTCAAACTCCTTTAGCTTTTCCAGATGTATGCTTCTACGTTCAGCCAAGATCTTAGCTAAGAAAATATCGTGATCTTCCTTCATGCGTTCCAGACGTTCCTGAGTCGCGACAGCCTCCTGCCTCTCTTCGATAGCCGCAGCAATTCGCTCATCTTCCTGCTGTTTCCAGAGCTGTTTCGCTTGTTGCATTCTTTCCTGTACAGCTTTCTCCAACAACGGGATCTCCTCGAGTCGTTTAGCACGTTCCAGATAATCGACTTTCTTCTCCTGGGATTTGAGTTTCTGCTGCATCTCTCTACGTTCCTTTTGCAATTCTTCGGCTTCCCGCGCCGCGATCTGCTCCGCATCTAGTTTCTTGATTTCATCCTCGTCCAGTTTCTTAAGCACCTTCTGCCCGTGACTCGTTTGTGAAATCTGTTGCATCTTTTCCTTGAGATGACGATCCTTGATTTGCTGAATCTCACTCTGCTGACGTTTCCGTTCGCGTTCCTCGCGCTCCTGCTCCAACCGTTTCTGTTCAGCTAGCATCTGTTGCCGCTGGAGTTCCTCTTGTCGACGCATTTCCTCTTCCTCGCGGACCGTATTGATGTGCTCGATGTACTCCTTTCGCTCCTCGATGATCTTATGCCTGCCCAATATTCTCTGGTGTTCCTTCATTTTGGTCTCGTGATAGTGACCGACCATCGCGTTACGTAGCTTCTCTCGTTCGAGTTTCTTTTTATTGGGATTTATTACATTAATGGCACGGTGCAACACGGTTGCCATGTTCACCAACTGGCAGCGTATTTGTTCGGAGGGCATCGCTTGTAGCACTGGACCATCTGGATGATCTTCTCGTTGTGCCTCTGAGAGATCCACTCCAAAGTGAACACATGTCTTGCCGTGGTCTATTCTGATCTGCATATCATTGTAGCGCACGCAATCCACCAAAAGACGCTCCAGATGAAAATCAGTGGTGAATTGAGCGAGTTCTAGAAGTCTGGAGAATTGTATAGTTTGATAGACTTGGGAGATTTGATGAACAAGACGTACAAGTGTCACATCTTGTAGAGCTGGGATATATTGAATTAAGGGGCTGTTTTCGTCTGCCTGCAATGTCTGAATAACAGAATCGACTCTGCTACAAAGCTCCAATGGATGGAATTCTACCTCTAACCACGAATACAATTCTTGCAATTGCGGTGACGCGAGACTGACAACGTTTAAACGAACGATATCTTTCAACAGAGAAACGCGTGTTGGTGGTTGTGAGAGGCCCAAAAGAGTCGCGAGTTTTTGAGCCTTTTCCAATGGACTTTTATCTGTTTCTATGAAGCGATCAAATTCTGGATGCGCAGATGGCAACGGTATCGATAAAGTTGCCAATAATACACGGTTGGCCATTCGTTGCTGTTCCTCCGAAGACATGTTCTTCTTCATTTCACGAGAGAGTTGCAAAAGTTTGAATAACGCAGCCGCGTGAAATAGATAATTTCCAGCCTTCCAAAAGACCATAGCGAGCTTCTGATAGTAATTAGCCATCGTTTTTGGTACAGGAAGTTTCTTCGATAAATTCATCATACCATGTACATCTTCCGAAGATTTAAAGGCTTCCTGCCACAATTCCATTTGTATTGCAGAGTCTAACTGATTTAATCTGGTCTCTAGATTTAACTGTTGCGTCTCTGCTTTATTCATAGAAACATTCGACACAAGTGGCGGCAGTTTACATATCTCCTCAAGATGTTTTCGTAATTTTTCGCATAATTTACGAAACTCAGTCTTACGATTATACTCGAGACAAAACTGGAAGGCCATACGTGCAATATCATGATAAAGAGTTTCTACATGCGCATTAGTTCTGAGCAACTCCAAACATTGGCAGTACGATTCCCATAAGAACTTTACCCAGGGCGTCAAAATAGTACGATCGCTTCTGTCTTGCGCGTCCTCTCCACTAACAGCAGACAGTAAAATGCTTTCGGGTGTAGCAAGATTATCAAGATCGTCAATATCGATTACAGCTTGCTGACTCTGTTTGCGTGCTGCATTTGTCTTTTCTTCAGCCATTCTCAAATAGCCACGTATTACATTCTCCAAACTCCCGACATTGACAGATTGGAACATATTTCTGTATTGGAATAAACCTTCCTTTGCTATGTGTGATTTCTTCAATTCTACACAGAGGTCCAGATACTTGAACATTATAGGTTCCAATACAGATTCTGACCAATTGTATGTCCATTTTTTATTACGGAAGACTTCTTGTAATGTATCTAATGCTCGAGCTGATTTGCCCACTTCAATAAATTCTGTTTAGAAAAAAAAAGAAGAAAAATGTCAGAACAATCAAGCAGTTATGTTTTTAAAAATAAAAATTTATAACATGTGGCAACAGTAATTGAATCAGAAACACACACACATACATATCAAAAAATATATATTATAATTGAAAAGAATTTTAAATGATATTAATGTATTCTTTTCAGGTATATTTTCATGAACACTTGTTGGAAATAAAATAAAAGCATATCACCAAATACATAGAAATAATAAAGAGAAAAGAAAAAAAATTGAAAGAATTGTTTTAAGTATTTCTTTCTAGTGTCAATTATTCATTGTGCTTCTATAGCAAAGACACGCGAGACATGTTGAAAAATGATTAATAATATAAAATTAGTTAATTTTCCATGTGCAATGCTAAATAGGAAATTAATAATTAAGTACAAAATACGAAGATAAATACTCATTTCCATAATTTAATATTTCAATATGTATCTCATATGTCAATATATACATCCTATATTTTTATTAAATATAAAAACGAGAAACTGCTTGTAAAATCTTAAAGATCCTTTTTTTCTCGAATTAAACAAAAATACATAATTGCAGCTTTCTAGCTACCAACTTCGACGATTACACAGCTTGCGAAGGTGAATAATACGTATGCATATAATGATGAAAAAAAATATTCTCAGGAGACAGATTGATTAGGCAAAGCTCCGAAATTGCGTTACGAGTACGTCGATAATAGAAGCTAAAAAAAATTTCATTTACTCCGCTCCGCGTTCCGCTCGCGTTTTCCGCGCGAACCTTTCGAGAGCCACGAAATTCCTTTTTTTTTCCTTCTCACGACATTACGCTATCGGCCATGTCACGTTGTGCGGAACATGAGGCGGAACCGCGACTTACCGTTCGCCCGTTTTAGGGCGTTCTCGGGTCGCTGCCCGTATCGCGCCATGACTTCTTCGTGTAGTCGCGGCTACAGCTGCACCATAAACACCGGAGGGTAGCGAAGGCTCGCCGAGGGCTTCGAAATCCCAGATCCCGTGTCCTAGACGGTATCAACCTCGACCGCGTGCGATTACAGTACACCGGATAAGAGAGGCGGACACCGAGGAAAGATGGCTTCCCGTAATACGTTAGTCAAAGCGCGATCAGATGCTGTGCTCTCGGGACAATCTCGTCCGAGGACGAGAGGTTCTCGCGCTGAAAAAATTACGCGATTTTAACGGCACGCGGAGATTGTTCGCAGGTTATGTTTAATTAAACTTTTCGCAATTAGCGAACAGAAGTTAGCGAAAGATGAGTCAGTGCTGCCAACGTTTAGCGATCGATGGTTCCCGAGCGGCACGCTGGGGAGTGACACGTGACACCTGTCACGCGACAATCGATCCGTACCACGTGATGACAATCGATTCGCTGAGTTCGATACTTCGAGAATCGCAATTTTGCTATTCGATACAGTTCAAAAGGATCGTATAGTCGCGTCGGGTCGTTGGTATCGTGAAACGCGCGCTCAAACCGCTCTCCGTACATTTCTGTGATTTTGTGATAGTAATTGTTATTTGAAAGTGAACTTTCTGTTAAGAGTTATCGCGAGTGCTTCGTGGTGTCGAACGTTTACGCGTAACGCGTACAATCGCCGTTGTACGTCGATATCGTGATATTTCAATATCGGTTTCCGTCCGTGCTCGGAATCCGAACGGCCATTTTCGTATGAAAAAGGTAAAAATCATTGCTCGATAATTAACGACATCAATTTTATCGTGATAATTAATTTAGATTTAATTTGTACAGTTTAACATGCGTATAGCTGTCGACCTTGGAACATTAAAAGGAGGAGCAGGCCTGAAAAAGGCATCGGGCACCGGCGAAGCAGTCCTAGAGTGAATATTTATTATTTATTTATTAAATATATATAGTGTTGCATTAAATCAAAATTTATTAGTTGTATAATTTTATTATTACTTAAATTAAAATTTAAATATTTAAGTAATAATAAAATTATTTAATTATATTTTTATTATTATTGTACACATGGAAAATATAATCGTTATTTGTGAAATAATCATATTACAATTATAAAATGATTTGAACAATTATCTTGTATCATCTGAATATCAAATATTCAATAATTTTCTTATTGAGCGCTACTACAATCTTTTGTTCTATTTATATGTTACAGATCAACGTAGTTTGCACTGCTTCGCTGCTACACATTGCTGCACGGTGAGTCATATAATAATGTTAAACTGAATTGAACTATTATAATAAAGAAACTTTTATATTTTAATAATATATATATATATATATATATATATATATATATATATATAAATGTATTATCAAAGGATTGTTACTTTTTTCAAAATAATTACACTAATAAGTAACATTAAATTCAGTCACATATGTTTGAAAATTTATAACCTTTTGTATAAAGATTGAACAGTAACCATGTTTTTCAAATTTTTCATTTTTGAAGCAAATGTGTATATAATATACATACTTTTTGAATATTTAGCATAAAAACAGGATTTAATATAATGAAATATTAAATTCTAATATAATCAATTATTAAGATTTATTCTTATATCATTCTTGAGTTTATATATAAATATTTCTCTCTCAGATCTTGCTTTATATATTTTTTAAAAACAATAATATAATATAATAATGAAAACTAACACAATATTAATAAGACAGAGTAAGACATTGAGAAGTAATGAATATGGAATTTAATAGTAATAAGTGTATTATTTTGATGAAATATTCTTTACATTTTAATATAAAATTAAAGCGTAAAAAACAGATATTAATGTGCATATAACACATCTTATATTTTACTCTTATTATTCACTGCGCCTTAACATTTACAGATTTTGATTTATATATTATATTATCATAGCATAAAAAGATTTTCAGCAATAGCTAAATTAATAAGAAAACTTTCTACAGCCGGTGCTAAGTTTTTCTCTCTAAATATCTCGATAGAAATCATCTTTCTGCCATCTGGAGCTTGAACTGTTGCTAATGAGGTTAATTGATTTAAAAGGTCTTGTGTTTTATCACTTATCTCAGAAATAATTTGTGCTTCTGTGTAGTTTTGATTTTCGCTTAGTTGAACCATAAATAAAGCTATTTCCTTGTGAGTTTTTGTCATTGTAAGACTTTCTAAAATAAGCATAAATTTTATTAGAAAATATTAATTTTATTTATTTAAAATTAATAAAAATAATTTTTGTTGTTATTTTATTACCTTTTGCATGCGGTGCTACAGTAATTTCTCGAGCAGGAATGTTTACGAGTAAGTCATATAGGTCTGTTCTTGATGATATTGAACTATTGCTGCAGCCTGCCACATAGTGCGAATATCTCTATATGTAACAATAACAATATTTATATAGCAATACAAATAATACATATTAATATATACTATCAATTAATATTAAATTGCAAAAATTAATACTATTAAATAATAATTATAATAATAATATAATTACAATATAACAACAACAATAAGTAACAATAATATATTGATTCACATAGTCCATTTTAAATAGTGAAACTGTCTACTTTTTATCTAAAATTTGGTAATATTAAAAAAGATATAATCTTTTATAGGATACATAGGATATACCTTTAATTCAATCAACTCGTCGTTTACTAAATCAATCCAGGGAAAGAGATTATCAGTAACTTTTCTATGTTTCATTAATGCAGGAAATGTTCTTATCCATTTAAGAAGTTGCTCTAAGCTGTGATGGTATATAATAATCTTTTTTTTCAATAAGAGAGCAGTATATATCAAAATTGTTTCTAATTCAAATGATTTAATCAGTTCTTTGACGTTAGTACTAGCTGCAAATCGATGAGTATTAAAATCATCAGAAACAAATGTTCCATTCTCCTGTGTTGAACAGGATCCTTTTGTGAATACAGAAAGATATAGTTGTAGAATCTCTGTTGGTTTTCCTGTTTTGCAATACATCTTGCTAAGAACTCGTGAAAGCACTTCATATTTTTGTGGATTAAAATCTTTTGCAAAAAGAACCAATGCAAACTGTTTTACCTGAAATAATTACGAAAAATTAGAAGATATGAAAATTCTTGAATATATAATAAAATACGTTTTTATATAAAGATAGAAATGCATATAGATAATTACCCTTGGTAATTTATCGGAGTCAAATACTTCGCTGCAATGTATATAAAACCAATCATGGCCATGTCTCGCACACACAAATACATGTGGAGAACTATGTTCTAATTTCATATTGCATTTTCTTATGACTACAGTCTTCTGAGATTCCGTTACTGCAGGATATGACCATGTCCACAAGATATCTCCATTACAGTCTTTCTCTAAAAATTTTATTCAGGATTAAACATAATCAACAATATAAAATATTTGATATTTTATATAAAAATATTTGATACTGCACATGAAAATAGTTCAGTTATATATTTGTATTCTTATTTAATATTTCTATTTATAGAAAACGATACTATACCTATTATACTACAAGAAAGTAAATCTGTTAATGGTGCCATTTATGGATTCTTTTTAATAAGTAACGTGACAATGATAACACACTATTAAAAACAATATATTAAAATAATCATTATTTTCTGTGCTTTTATATGTAAAATTATTATATTATTATATATTCTTTTAATAATACATTCTAGATTTGCATTATTATAAATATCAATTTAATAGTAAATTATGGAAGCATGTTAATTATTGCTTTATTGTACACAATATTTTTTAAGGGTATTTTTAACGCGAAAAATTTATTTAATACGTATATCACACGCAAACAAAAATTGAGGTTATGCTTAAATAGTCGGCACTTTCTGTCAGCTGCAGTCAGCTGTAGGAAATAGAAGGGAGAACGGAGAACAGGAAATCTGCACACGTATATGTACAACACTTCCTGAATTTAATGTTTTTATAAAATGAGATAGAAGACAGCAGAAGTATATTAATATGAATTATATTGTATTTATAGCATGCATTTTTTAAGCAAAATATAAAATATAGATTTTTTATAATAAAGTGTCAAATTAATATGTAATAAACATAATACAGTTAATTTGCACTTATATGAGCTTATTGTAGGAAATATATTTGTTTGCTGTTAATATTTAAAAAATAACAAAAAGTGTGATATGAAAGAATAGAAAGATTTTAAAGCTATATCATTAATTTTAAAGCTTTAAAGTTAATTTTAAAGTTTTAAAGTTAATTTTAAAGCTTTAAAGTTAATTTTAAAGTTTTAAGGCTTTATTATCAATAATTTTATAAATGTGTCGATAAAAGATTGCAGAAATAATGCTTACACTACTCCGTACTAATATTTTTATTTATAAAATGTAGTTTTAATTAAACATTTTAAATGAGCAAATTGCCACTTGACTGTCGGGAGCCTTTTCAAATGGTTTACTTCCATCAGGCGCTTCGTATCGATTCACTTGATATACCGACATTGTGTCATACTCGTATACATCCGTGCCAAGTTGCTGCATAAAGTTCACATAAGAATAAATATAAATTAATAATTCTCTGAGTCATGATTTATATATTTATATAATACATGTACTTTCTACATTATTTATTTAAAGCCCACTTTAAACGTAAAAAGATTCGGAAATTTTACTTCTAATTTTATGTTAATGACAGAATCTTTAACTTTTATATTATGATTTACTTATAATTTCTATAATTCGTTACAAAATTTGGCACTGTAAATCCGATTTACAGTTTTGTAGTGTAATATAGAAAAAGTTATGAAAAGTAAAATATATATTGAAATACACAATTATTAAATTAAAAGATATGGTACTTTATACATACTTATTAAAAGATATGATAGATCAAATTATAAATAAAATTGTCTTGAATTTTATCGCGAATTACACATTGTTTAATGTGGGCTCAAATACGTTATCAAGGAATTGGATTTATCGTTACCTGAGTGAAAGGGCTGGTATTTGTAGTAAAAATTCCAACATATTCTTTTCGTAGAGCTAGTTGGATAGTGTAATCTTCCATCTGTCTCATCACTAATACATTTTCTGCGAAATTTAAATCGCTGCATGTCGCCATCATAATATTGTGAATAATTTTGCCCTTGCCTTTTGGTAATTTGGTATCTCTAATCGGTCCCTCTAAATACTCGAGGAAATCGAATATAATCATTAAGTTAGAGCTCAACATTAAATCAGGTTTATCCCAGAGATCAAAATTAATGTTAACTCCGATTGTTTTGTCACTATGTCTTGATTTAATCACGAAACTCAAGTCCTTCTTTACGAGAAAATCCCATACCTTTTCCATCAATTCTCGATAATCTGTTCTCTTTAAATTCGGTATTAACCATTGCTCCAAATCGGCTTTCGTATAAAAGCTCTCTGTGATTATTCTAAGAATTTAAAAATATATTTATTGGTGTATACAAAACAATGTGTTATAGATATATATGAATTGATAACCGAATTTGGAATGATACTTACTCGATCGCGTCTTCTTTGTGACAATCGTTTAATGATTCAAAAATATACGATTCCTGATCGATTTTTTCCATCAGGGGTTTCTCTTCAGAAGATATGAGTTGCATGCGGTTTATTACTTCGGCCAGATCTTTTGCTTTGATAAAATCCGTGATACCAATTTGATAACCTTGGTCTCTTAATTTGGTCACGGTGTAAATGGAATTTAAGGAATTTCCACCAAGCTCGTAGAAATTCGCATGCGGGGTTACTTGCGTCCGACTATTTCGTCCGATTACGGATGCGACAGTCGGAAAAAGAACTCGAGCTTTTTTAAGATCTTGATCTGACACATCGCTGTAATCGCAATTCATAGTACCGTTGTCTTCTGTGGAATAGAATTTTTCAAACTTAATATGCGTCAGTTAATAATAGATCTTTTGCTTTAATGAATGAGTCAGTTTTAGAAGGAATTTTTTAAATTTATTCAGTTAAAGAAAGATGATTTATCATGTCTCAATTCTTTTTTAATTTTTGAAAATAGGAATTATAACTAAAACATATTGTAATTTTGTTTTATACTTTCTTAAAAAAATATTTTTATTTTAATGTAAGAATGATCAAATGATATCATTTAATTGCTTGATAAGAGATAAGATATTAGAAAATTAATTTTTTTATTATTTACATTCTCTGTAGAGTTATTGCAAATTATATTAGAAACAATTAAAAAGATTATTTTAATCTCTTATGAGAAATATGAGGTGGCACTAATAGGTGATAGCAATAACAAGAAATAGAAAATATAAAAAATCTTGAAACCGGTTTTCAATATATTAGTAATATGATATGATAGACTCTTAACTACCTTGTAATAACTCTTAATTATCTTGTAATATCTCTATTTTTTCATATATAAAAATTTAATTAATTCTAAATACGTTTTTGTGATTAATACATTAATTAATGTATTAATAAGCGAATTAATTATTTATAACGTGAATCTTTGAGAAACTATATATGTGGTATTTTGCTTGACAAAATGATATAAAATCATTGATCATTAATTTGACGTACCATTATTAGGATAAGATAATTCATATTGCTTCAGCAATGTTTGTCGATCCGTTTTTCCGTTGATTAAAAGAGGTATGTGATCAATAACAAAAATTTGCGGTAACATGTATGGTGGTAATGTTCTTTGGAGGAAACTTTCAATCTCCGAGTTAGATAAAGTCGTGCCATCAGTTAAGGTTACAAAAGCTATTAGAGTCTAAAAGGAAATGTAAAATATAAAATTTAAAATTAGGAAATTATCTAGTTTTTTTTTTAATTGGACAATGCACATCTTTAAAATATTGCAAAAGTCGCTCATATGCAAAAAAACCTTTAAATTGCATAAACTATACTATACTATTTCGGAAAAGTAATACTTCTAAAGTATCTACATTTAATTAAGGAAGTTTTTGTAAAATTGTCTGCAAATAAAAATATTTAAAATTATATATAAAATATTTAAGAATTAAATAAAATTATTTAAAATTATATTTAAGAAATTTTAAGAACATAAAATTAATTTGTAATTATATTAATATTAAACGACCAGAAAATGTTTAATGTTTAGATATTTGTTGTGTATGTATAAACCTTAGAAGAGAATTTTATTTCGAAAATAATAAGAAAAAAGTTTTATAGTATTTTATTTTATCTTACTACATTCACACACACACACATACATATTTACCTGTGATAGTTCACCAGGCTTATAACATAGAACCACGACCTTATTGATACCAGGTATCCTAACAATTATTTTTTCGACTTCTGTAAGATCGACACGATGACCTCTAACTTTGATTTGCGAATCCACTCGTCCCTCGTAAATTAACAAATCTTTGACAATTTTAGCGTAGTCGCCCGTACGAAAGATCTTTGGATATTCTGCACACAAATTAATATATAGTTGTTTGAAATGGAGCAAAGTAAACTTTTCGAATTTAATAGATCAATATTCGATATTATATTACGTTATTTTATTTTTTTACCTGGATCGATAGCGTGAGGATTGTCCAAAAATTTACGTGTGTCTCGTTCGCATAGATAACCCGCAGCAAGATTTCTTCCTGCCACAATTAGCTCACCAACTTCTCCCTGAGGAATCAATCGCATGTCCTTATTTACAAGATAAATTATGCAATTATCGATAGGCCTTCCTGCAACAAAGGTGCGTCAAATGATATAGATGTTGTGTCTATGCCAATTTCTTATAATTCATTTTTTTTTTATTAGCTATACTGGCTTTGATGACTAATTAACGGTTTATAGGACTCGAGATGTTATCAATAAGCTATCAATTCGCTACTATCATTACCTCTTCATTAATTTATTATAATTAATAACGTATATTAATTTTTGAGTTATATTTGACATAAGAATTCAGATAAATATTATCCTTACCAATTGGCACTTTCTCCATTCCTTGTAATTGCGTGCGTTTGTTCAAAAGGTAATACGTGACGTCACCCATGATTTCTGTGCTGCCGTAGAAATTAGCTAATATTTTATCCTTATTGCTAAACGTAGCAAAAAATTGATCGGCCAACGCAACCGACAAAGTTTCTCCTGAGCAAATCCAAAGTCTCAAGCGATCGAGAACGTTGTCAATATTCTACGCAGATGACAATAGATTATTTTTGCTTATATTAATTTTATAGTTACATATATTAATTTATTATATGGGTGGGAAATATAGATAATTAAATCACTGATAAAAAAAATTTTTTAGTGACTTTGAACCATTCATGCAAAACAATGATCGATAATTGTATAATTGTTGCTAATTAGAATAATTAGTTTAATCTGATGTATTTAATACTACGTGATTAATACGTGCATTTTTACTCTCTTATGGGAAAATTTCTCTTTTAATTTTGATGATTTTATCACAGAATTAAAAATTACCGATTTATAAACGCATTTTAGTTCAACTATTTTATTTCAGGCATACACATTCTGTTTAAATGTGACTATCGCCATTAAAGTTGTTGAACACATATTTCTGAATTAAAAATGTCTTGTTGAAATGCCAAGAGTACAAGGTTATTCGAAGTTTTCACTAGCCTTTAAGAGGAAAAGCGATACGTTCGCTGCACATTCTACATTTTTGTGATTATACTTATTACTATGATTACCTTCATTAGTTATTAAAGATTCTATTTATTATAATAGTCAAGGGTCAAACAAAAAGTGCAGTATTAATCTTTATCTAGTTGTCGTACAACGTTGCGTTAAGTCAAGATTGTAATTCTCAGAAATTTACGTAATAATGGCAAGTTTCTCTATCTTATAAAAAAATAATGCATAGAATATAGTTGTATACTTACTCGTAAACTCAAATACATGAGCAGCGAATGCAGCAACGATGGCACAAGGACTAAGCGTTGTATCTGGATGATTTTAATTTTTCATAAATTATACGACGCGTACAACATAATTTACGCATACATATTTAAGAAATGTCAAAAAGATATAAATAATTGTGTAAGATTTTAAGTGGTGTATGATTGAACATAGATTTTCTCGATTAATATAATTTCTGAACTTAGAGTAAAAGTTAATTATCTACTAATTATATAAATATATTAGAATTATTGCCATTAAATCAATTTTCTATATAACAATATTTTAAAATAAACTAAACATTTAATTAACTATTACACTAAAAAAAGCTATTGATTTTAAATAAATATTTATTTTAATAATAACACTAACATTTGTTCGAAACTAATATATATAATATTAATTTGACGTGAAAAAATATTTATTTTATTGAAGTTTTGAAAGTTACCTGATGTTTCTCTAAGAGTGGTACGAATTTTTCCGGATCTTTTGTCACACTTTTCGGTACAATTACTAGTGTGCGGCCTTGTAGAAGAGGTCCCCAAATCTCCGGAACACTATCGACGAATGTGAGAGCGGTCTTGAAGACGCATCGTTTTTCGTCGTCGGTATACGGAAGCTCTCTCCATTGCCATTTTAGACGATTCAGTAAAGTAGCATGTGGTATAAGCACACCTTTAAATAGATAATTTGATAAATAATATCACATGTACAATATACAATTAGACGTTATTTCGCAGATTTTATTTCATGCAAGCTTAAAAGTTATAGTGGCATTCTTGATCATGTGTAATTTTTTTGCAATTGAATTAGAATTGATATTTTTGCAACAGAGATAATGTTCAATGACAGTTTTTTAATTTGCCATATATTATAATACTATAAAACTACTGCTATTAACGTTTTAAGGACACTCATAAATCAATGTGCGATGGAAAAACAATTATACATCTTTTATGACTTACAAAAGATAACTAGTGCATTGAGAAAAAAAAGTTATTAACTTAATTAAATTGATCAACTAATTTTTATTTTGTTAATTGAACATATAGAAGTATTTAAATGAAGTACAACATGTTAAATCTAATATAACGTGTTTTGACTTAAATATTTTATATATATTTATTTAACGAATAAATTAGTCGGGCAATTTAGTTAAATTAACAACTTTTTTTTCTTGTCAGTGTGGTGTTAATACTTATTTTTTTACATCGTGTATTGTATAATTAATATGAAGGTTACCTTTTGGAATTCCCGTACTTCCGGAAGTATAAAGAACGATGGCGAGTTGATTCGAACACTTTTTAAATTTTAGTACATCTTCTTGTTCTTCTGCAGCTTCTTTTAGAAGTTGTTCATAAGTCACGAACAAGGCACCCTCATAAATTGACAAATCCGCTAAAAACGGAATCGTATATTTATTTTAATTTTATGCAATATAAAATCTTGCAGAAATGATTCTTACTATTCTATTTGAAATTATATATGTATATTAAGTCGGAATTAAACACAAAAACTATCTATAGTTCGGAATTGAACTCAAATATTTGTTGATTGAAACATTTTTTCAATTTTAATGCATTTTTTTGTTTTTCTTTAATTTCTTTCAGAAGTTGTTCGTACGTCACGACCGATGTTATTTCATAAATTGACAAACCTGCTAAAAGTGAAAGGATTGCGTAATATAACTACTAGGTAAAAAATAATGCAAAATATCTTTAAATAAACAAGATATAAGCTATATTTTAGTAATTCAATAAATTGATGATATTGAAATAATTTGATAATAATATGAAAGTAATATACATTAATATTAAATAAAATAAAAATCATTTTTTATTATTGTTTTTAAAACTATATTTTTATTAAAGAAAAAAAATTCTCAACATTTTAATAATTCTCAACATATTAATAATAATATATATGTAGAATTTTTATGATATAAAAAATTGACATTTACCTCCTTCTTCGATTAATACTATCAATGGTTGTGCTTCTTCGAGAATATGTTTTATCCTGATCATCGGAAATTCCGCGTCCAAAGGTAGATAGGCCATTCCTGCTTTGAGTATACTAAGTAATGCAATTAGGAGGCGATGTGACGTTTTCATGTACACAGCCACTAATGATTGAGAAGTAGTCTCGAATTTTTCGTATTTTTGCAAGGTTCGTGCAAATTGATTGGTGATGTTATCTAATTCTTTAAAGCACAGCATGTATTCCTGGTTTGCATCATCTGTATGAAATTTTTAATTTCAATATTGTACATAAAAGTTTTTGGACACGATTACTTTCGCATTATTACTGATATTAAATATTTATAATTAAACAGTCAAATTAATTTTACATATATTATTATTATTATAATGTATCCACAGGTAGTTGGTGGATAAATGATGTTAGTCGCAAAATAATAATTAGTTAGAATTATTTACACATATACATACAATCACACACATAAACACTATATTTTATATATTTATATATATATATATATATATATATATATATATATATAAACTCTTTAATAATATTATTTCAATTTAAATTGCACAAAAAATAAATTGATGAGTAAATAATAAAATTGTTTTTATCATAAATAAGTTTTAACTTTTATAAAAATATCAATGGCCCTATTAATATTCTGACTGATGTAGTTATATATGTATATATATATATAATATATATATATTGTATATATATATATATATACACAAATTTATTAATGAGTAATGTTAGTAGCTAATTAAAAATAATACTGTTAATTAGAAAAAATATTTTTGTTAATTTTTTGGGAATCATGGTTAGGGATAACTTCCGTTTTTTCGAGAAGCAAGAAATCTTACCTTCGTAATATATCGCGGTTTTACTTGGCTGAGCCATTGCTGCGCAACTGAACCATTCGTGAATTAAATATTTCTCTTTGTTTCTACTTATCTGTCGACCCTTTAAGATGGATTGCTGTTGTAAAGTACACATTTTCAAATTGTCGAAGCAGTTGTATTACTTTATACTATACGATTTGCAAAGAACTAAAATTTAGTTTAAAGTAAAAATTAAGAAACGTACATTTATAAATGCATAAAGCTTCTATGGAAAAAGGGAAATAATGTTTCTTGAGATATCTTTTGTTCAAAGATAATTTTAAAAACCTCACTTATATATAATTTTAAAGATAAGTTTAAAGACTTCACTTATATACCTACATATCGCTTATATACATATAATTTGGAAGATAATTTTACAAATGTCAATTATTTTTAAATTTATTTTATATTATTTGTGAATAATTTTAAAGATTTTTGACATCAATTTTTTGATCGAATATTAAATTCTTTATTTTATATGTATATAGATGCAAATATTTACATTTATTTTACAACAATTTTTCGTAAGAAATTTCTCACGAGTGCAAAGGTAAAATATTGAAATATTTAGAGAGAAAAATTTAGTACCGGCTGTAGAAAGTTTTCTTAATAATTTAGCTATTATATTGAAAATCTCTTTATGTTATAATAATATAATACATAAATCGAAATCTTTATATGTTAAAGCAGTTAAGTTAATGAATAATAAGAATAAAATATAAATTATATGTATATTTATATCTTGCTTGCGACTGTTACGTCAATCGTTACGTAACATTCTCTCGCGAGATTAGGCAGAGCCGCTCACAGAAATTTAGCGGATCTTGGGCTCTCACTAAGTTTTCAATTACTGAAGGACGAGGAGAGACCCGAGAAATTCGCAAAAAAGTTTGTCAACGAAGCTGTCGATAGGCTTCGAAACCCAGCGATGTTATAGCGACGGCTTAGGGCCGGTCCACAGCTCAACATAGTGTGTATAAAAGACACGCAAATAATTATCATTAATTTTCATTTTCTAAGATTTAAATTTAAAATATTAGTATTGATTAATTAAAATTAATATATAATATTATATGAATAATTATTTAATATATGGATGTGATAAAAAGAATAATAGCTACAAAAATAAACATAACGAACATAGATTGCTTTAAGATTTACATTGATATACCACATAATAAAGTACTTCGTGAACACATCTTTTACAAGAGATTTTCTACTTAATTTTAATAAATTTAAAATTACCATGTATTATGTAGTTTTTTAAAGTGATTTCCTTTATCAATATCGCTGTGCCTTTAATGATTTGCCTACGAGCAAAATTTATTTTTAAATTATTGAAATCTTGTATCCGTTTTATAGCACAGGTTTTAAGCAAAATAGGAAAGAAGAAGAATTCTCAGTAAGTAAATATTGAATTAAGAAAAACATTTATACAACTATATAATATTTAGATTAATAAACAATAACAAATAATAACTTGTTAAGTTATTATATTATTGTGTGCAGTACATTGTTGCTGTTAAATATTTATCGAAAATAACAAAAAGCGATGATTGAATGGAAAGATGTAAAACTTATCATAATGGATTATTAACCATCATATGAATGTGTCGATAAAAGATTGCAGAAAAATGATGCTTACACTACTTGGTACTAATATTTTTATTTATAAATGTCGTTTTAATTGATTCTTTTGAATGAGCAAATTGCCACTTGACTGTCGGGAGCTTTTTCAAATGGTTTACTTCCATTAGGCGCCTCGTACCGATTTACTTGATATACCAACATTGTGTCATACTCGTACACATCCGTGCCAAGTTGCTGCATAAAGTTTACATAAGAATAAATATAAATTAATAATTCTCTGAGTCATGATTATATATATATGTATATATATATATATATATATATATATATATATATATATATATAATACATACTTTCTACATTAATTATTTAAAGCCCACTTTAAATGCGAAAAGATTCGGAAATTTTACTTCTAATAATTTTATGTTAATAACAGAATTTTAACTTTTATATTATGATTTACTCGTAATTTTCTATAATTTGTTACAAAATTTGGCACTGTAAATTCGATTTATAATTTTGTAGCATAATATAAAAAAAGTTATAAAAAATAAAATATATATTGAAATACACAATTATTAATATAAAAGATATGGTACTTTATACATACTTATTAAAAGATATGATAGATCAAATTATAAATATAATTGTCTTGAATTTTATCGCGAATTACAGATTGTTTAATGTGACCTCAAATACGTTATCAAGGAATTGGATTTATCGTTACCTGAGTGAGAGGGCTGGTATTTGTAGTAAAAATTCCAACATATTCTTTTCGTAGAGCTAGTTGGATAGTGTAATCTTCCATCTGTCTCATCACTAATACATTTTCTGCGAAATTTAAATCGCTGCATGTCGCCATCATAATATTGTGAATAATTTTGCCCTTGCCTTTTGGTAATTTGGTATCTCTAATCGGTCCCTCTAAATACTCGAGGAAATCGAATATAATCATTAAGTTAGAGCTCAACATTAAATCAGGTTCATCCCAGAGATCAAAATTAATGTTAACTCCGATTGTTTTGTCACTATGTCTTGATTTAATCACGAAACTCAAGTCCTTCTTTACGAGAAAATCCCATACCTTTTCCATCAATTCTCGATAATCTGTTCTCTTTAAATTCGGTATTAACCATTGCTCCAAATCGGCTTTCGTATAAAAGCTCTCTGTGATTATTCTAAGAATTTAAAAATATATTTATTGGTGTATACAAAACAATGTGTTATAGATATATATGAATTGATAACCGAATTTGGAATGATACTTACTCGATCGCGTCTTCTTTGTGACAATCGTTTAATGATTCAAAAATATACGATTCCTGATCGATTTTTTCCATCAGGGGTTTCTCTTCAGAAGATATGAGTTGCATGCGGTTTATTACTTCGGCCAGATCTTTTGCTTTGATAAAATCCGTGATACCAATTTGATAACCTTGGTCTCTTAATTTGGTCACGGTGTAAATGGAATTTAAGGAATTTCCACCAAGCTCGTAGAAATTCGCATGCGGGGTTACTTGCGTCCGACTATTTCGTCCGATTACGGATGCGACAGTCGGAAAAAGAACTCGAGCTTTTTTAAGATCTTGATCTGACACATCGCTGTAATCGCAATTCATAGTACCGTTGTCTTCTGTGGAATAGAATTTTTCAAACTTAATATGCGTCAGTTAATAATAGATCTTTTGCTTTAATGAATGAGTCAGTTTTAGAAGGAATTTTTTAAATTTATTCAGTTAAAGAAAGATGATTTATCATGTCTCAATTCTTTTTTAATTTTTGAAAATAGGAATTATAACTAAAACATATTGTAATTTTGTTTTATACTTTCTTAAAAAAATATTTTTATTTTAATGTAAGAATGATCAAATGATATCATTTAATTGCTTGATAAGAGATAAGATATTAGAAAATTAATTTTTTATTATTTACATTCTCTGTAGAGTTATTGCAATTATATTAGAAACAATTAAAAAGATTATTTTAATCTCTTATGAGAAATATGAGGTGGCACTAATAGGTGATAGCAATAACAAGAAATAGAAAATATAAAAAATCTTGAAACCGGTTTTCAATATATTAGTAATATGATATGATAGACTCTTAACTACCTTGTAATAACTCTTAATTATCTTGTAATATCTCTATTTTTTCATATATAAAAATTTAATTAATTCTAAATACGTTTTTGTGATTAATACATTAATTAATGTATTAATAAGCGAATTAATTATTTATAACGTGAATCTTTGAGAAACTATATATGTGGTATTTTGCTTGACAAAATGATATAAAATCATTGATCATTAATTTGACGTACCATTATTAGGATAAGATAATTCATATTGCTTCAGCAATGTTTGTCGATCCGTTTTTCCGTTGATTAAAAGAGGTATGTGATCAATAACAAAAATTTGCGGTAACATGTATGGTGGTAATGTTCTTTGGAGGAAACTTTCAATCTCCGAGTTAGATAAAGTCGTGCCATCAGTTAAGGTTACAAAAGCTATTAGAGTCTAAAAGGAAATGTAAAATATAAAATTTAAAATTAGGAAATTATCTAGTTTTTTTTTTAATTGGACAATGCACATCTTTAAAATATTGCAAAAGTCGCTCATATGCAAAAAAACCTTTAAATTGCATAAACTATACTATACTATTTCGGAAAAGTAATACTTCTAAAGTATCTACATTTAATTAAGGAAGTTTTTGTAAAATTGTCTGCAAATAAAAATATTTAAAATTATATATAAAATATTTAAGAATTAAATAAAATTATTTAAAATTATATTTAAGAAATTTTAAGAACATAAAATTAATTTGTAATTATATTAATATTAAACGACCAGAAAATGTTTAATGTTTAGATATTTGTTGTGTATGTATAAACCTTAGAAGAGAATTTTATTTCGAAAATAATAAGAAAAAAGTTTTATAGTATTTTATTTTATCTTACTACATTCACACACACACACATACATATTTACCTGTGATAGTTCACCAGGCTTATAACATAGAACCACGACCTTATTGATACCAGGTATCCTAACAATTATTTTTTCGACTTCTGTAAGATCGACACGATGACCTCTAACTTTGATTTGCGAATCCACTCGTCCCTCGTAAATTAACAAATCTTTGACAATTTTAGCGTAGTCGCCCGTACGAAAGATCTTTGGATATTCTGCACACAAATTAATATATAGTTGTTTGAAATGGAGCAAAGTAAACTTTTCGAATTTAATAGATCAATATTCGATATTATATTACGTTATTTTATTTTTTACCTGGATCGATAGCGTGAGGATTGTCCAAAAATTTACGTGTGTCTCGTTCGCATAGATAACCCGCAGCAAGATTTCTTCCTGCCACAATTAGCTCACCAACTTCTCCCTGAGGAATCAATCGCATGTCCTTATTTACAAGATAAATTATGCAATTATCGATAGGCCTTCCTGCAACAAAGGTGCGTCAAATGATATAGATGTTGTGTCTATGCCAATTTCTTATAATTCATTTTTTTTTTATTAGCTATACTGGCTTTGATGACTAATTAACGGTTTATAGGACTCGAGATGTTATCAATAAGCTATCAATTCGCTACTATCATTACCTCTTCATTAATTTATTATAATTAATAACGTATATTAATTTTTGAGTTATATTTGACATAAGAATTCAGATAAATATTATCCTTACCAATTGGCACTTTCTCCATTCCTTGTAATTGCGTGCGTTTGTTCAAAAGGTAATACGTGACGTCACCCATGATTTCTGTGCTGCCGTAGAAATTAGCTAATATTTTATCCTTATTGCTAAACGTAGCAAAAAATTGATCGGCCAACGCAACCGACAAAGTTTCTCCTGAGCAAATCCAAAGTCTCAAGCGATCGAGAACGTTGTCAATATTCTACGCAGATGACAATAGATTATTTTTGCTTATATTAATTTTATAGTTACATATATTAATTTATTATATGGGTGGGAAATATAGATAATTAAATCACTGATAAAAAAATTTTTTAGTGACTTTGAACCATTCATGCAAAACAATGATCGATAATTGTATAATTGTTGCTAATTAGAATAATTAGTTTAATCTGATGTATTTAATACTACGTGATTAATACGTGCATTTTTACTCTCTTATGGGAAAATTTCTCTTTTAATTTTGATGATTTTATCACAGAATTAAAAATTACCGATTTATAAACGCATTTTAGTTCAACTATTTTATTTCAGGCATACACATTCTGTTTAAATGTGACTATCGCCATTAAAGTTGTTGAACACATATTTCTGAATTAAAAATGTCTTGTTGAAATGCCAAGAGTACAAGGTTATTCGAAGTTTTCACTAGCCTTTAAGAGGAAAAGCGATACGTTCGCTGCACATTCTACATTTTTGTGATTATACTTATTACTATGATTACCTTCATTAGTTATTAAAGATTCTATTTATTATAATAGTCAAGGGTCAAACAAAAAGTGCAGTATTAATCTTTATCTAGTTGTCGTACAACGTTGCGTTAAGTCAAGATTGTAATTCTCAGAAATTTACGTAATAATGGCAAGTTTCTCTATCTTATAAAAAAATAATGCATAGAATATAGTTGTATACTTACTCGTAAACTCAAATACATGAGCAGCGAATGCAGCAACGATGGCACAAGGACTAAGCGTTGTATCTGGATGATTTTAATTTTTCATAAATTATACGACGCGTACGACATAATTTACGCATACATATTTAAGAAATGTCAAAAAGATATAAATAATTGTGTAAGATTTTAAATGGTGTATGATTGAACATAGATTTTCTCGATTAGTATAATTTCTGAACTTAGAGTAAAAGTTAATTATCTACTAATTATATAAATATATTAGAATTATTGTCATTAAATCAATTTTCTATATAACTATATTTTAAAATAAACTAAACATTTAATTAACTATTACACTAAAAAAGCTATTAATTTTAAATAAATATTTATTTTAATAATAACACTAACATTTGTTCGAAACTAATATAAATAATATTGATTTGACGTGAAAAAATACTTATTTTATTGAAGTTTTGAAAGTTACCTGATGTTTCTCTAAGAGTGGTACGAATTTTTCCGGATCTTTTGTCACACTTTTCGATACAATTACTAGTGTGCGGCCTTGTAGAAGAGGTCCCCAAATCTCTGGAACACTATCGACGAATGTGAGAGCGGTCTTGAAGACGCATCGTTTTTCGTCGTCGGTATACGGAAGCTCTCTCCATTGCCATTTTAAACGATTCAGTAAAGTAGCATGTGGTATAAGCACACCTTTAAATAGATAATTTGATAAATAATATCACATGTACAATATACAATTAGACGTTATTTCGCAGATTTTATTTCATGCAAGCTTAAAAGTTATAGTGGCATTCTTGATCATGTGTAATTTTTTTGCAATTGAATTAGAATTGATATTTTTGCAACAGAGATAATGTTCAATGACAGTTTTTTAATTTGCCATATATTATAATACTATAAAACTACTACTATTAACGTTTTAAGGACACTCATAAATCAATGTGCGATGGAAAAACAATTATACATCTTTTATGACTTACAAAAGATAACTAGTGCATTGAGAAAAAAAAGTTATTAACTTAATTAAATTGATCAACTAATTTTTATTTTGTTAATTGAACATATAGAAGTATTTAAATGAAGTACAACATGTTAAATCTAATATAACGTGTTTTGACTTAAATATTTTATATATATTTATTTAACGAAATAATTAGTTGAACAATTTAGTCAAATTAACAACTTTTTTTCTTGTCAGTGTGGTGTTAATACTTATTTTTTTACATCGCGTATTGTATAATTAATATGAAGGTTACCTTTTGGAATTCCCGTACTTCCGGAAGTATAAAGAACGATGGCGAGTTGATTCGAACACTTTTTAAATTTTAGTACGTCTTCTTGTTCTTCTGCAGCTTCTTTTAGAAGTTGTTCATAAGTCACGAACAAGGCACCTTCATAATTTGACAAATCCGCTAAAAACGGAATCGTATATTTATTTTAATTTTATGCAATATAAAATCTTGCAGAAATGATTCTTACTATTCTATTTGAAATTATATATGTATATTAAGTCGGAATTAAACACAAAAACTATCTATAGATCGGAATTGAATTCAAATAAGTCTTTTCATGTGTAATTATACGAAATATATCCATATTTCTTGGAAATTATATTTTGAAATGATATTATTATATTATATATTTTCGAAGTAATCATGTAAATATATGATTTTGCGCAAGAAAATTACATAACATAATTACAAGGTAAAAAATAATTGCTATGTAAATATATCACATTTGTTATGCATTGCATGCTCAATTTATTCGTGAATGAATAATATTGATTTTGATTAATGTAATCTTGATAATTTGTTGTAATAACGTGATGTAAAAATATTTTTAAATGAACAAGATTATGAGATATATTTAGTAATTTACTTGATAATAATGAATACAATTTATTGATAATAATGTAAAATTAATACACAGTTATATTAAATAAAACAAAAATATTTTGTATTGTTTTTCGGAACCACATTTTTATTTAAAATATTCTCAACATTTTTTATCTCATTTTTAGTTTCCATATTTAAAGATATGTTATTATTGAATTAAACAAAAAATATATTGTTTTTTTTTAAATTTATATTATATAGATATATATAATCTATGAGACAAAAAATAATCGCTTACTCCTTTTAATATTAATATTAATATTTATGTAGAACTTTTATGATTTAAAAAAAAGTGACATTTACCTCCTTCTTCGATCAATATTATCAATGGTTGTGCTTCTTCGAGAATATGTTTTATCCTGGACATCGGAAATTCCGCGTCCAAAGGTAGATAGGCCATTCCTGCCTTGAGTATACTAAGTAATGCAATTGGAAGACGATGTGACGTTTTCATGCAGACAGCCACTAATGATTGGGAAGTTGTCTCGAATTTTTCATATTTTTGCAAGGCTCGTGCGAACTGATTGGTGATGTTATCTAATTCTTTGAAGGATAGCACGTATTCCTGGTTAGCATCATCTGTAGGAAATTTTTAGTTTCAATGTTTATACATAATTCCTTTGACACGATGTTTGTGTTATTACTGATATTATTTCATATTTATAATTGGACAGTCAAATTAATATTGCATTTATTATTATTACTACAATTCATTCCCAAGTAATTGGTGTCAATTGCAATCAAATTATTTGCAATCAACTTATGAATAAATAGTAACATTGTTTTTATCACAAAAAAGCTTTGACTTTTGCAGAAATATAACTCCATTATCAATTTTATGGATTTATTTATAGATATATGAATGGATAATGTTAATTTCATTGCTAGCTAACAATAATTCTGGTAATTACAAAAAATCTTTTTAAAATCTTTTTAAAATCTTTTTATAGAATCATGATTTAATGAAGATAATTCTAATCTTTTTAAAAAAAATCTTACCTTCGTAATATAGCGCGGTTTGACTCGGATGAGTCGTTGCTGCGCGACTGAATAATTCGTGAACTAAATCTTTCTCTTTGTGTTTTCCTATCTGTTGACCTTTTAAGATGGATTGCTGCTGCAAAGTACCCATTTTCAAATGTTCGAAGCAGCTATATTGCTCCGTATGGTTAGCGAAGAGCTAAAATTTAATTTAGAATAAAAATTATTAAGTATGCATTTATAAATGTATATTGATGCTTTTGAGGAGAAAGGAAAAATAAAGTTTGCTTGATATATTTTCCTTTTAAATTGATTTGAAATTTTAGATATATTAATTTTTTTATTGCGTATTAAATTCTTTATTCTACATAGAAGGAAAAATTTACATTTATTATTTCCAAAAATCTTTCAAAATTCCTCACGTGTGCAGTGATAAAAAATATAAATTGCCTAAATTGTTTCTAAATATAAAAGGATTTGTTTTTTAATTGGAATAGTAAATATTAGTTGTACTATAATTGTCTTGCTCAAAAAATAACATATTACAGATTTGTTATTATAGATTGCAATTTTAATTTAGCCTCGAAATTTAAGAGTGTGATATGCATATACAATTTTGTTTCGATATCTCTAATATGATATAAATAACTATTTCGAAAAATTAAGTTAATAATTTATAATTGTTAATCATTTAAATAATAGTATTAATTTCGATTTGATAAATCTAATTTTGTTCAATAATTATTGTGCAGTAATCCTCGGAATGATGTGCAAGAATATAATAATGATTTCAATTATCTGAGGAATGTTAATGTTAAAACTATTTGATCGATTTACACCATTAAATTTTACATTTTACGTGTAATCAATTAGTGATACTATAAAATTAATTGAACAATTAAAATTCGTATAAAAACGATTACGATATGTATTGCAAGATAAATATTAATGCGGTTAAAAAACTAGTATAAAAACGGCTTATTTGTATTCTGAAAAATCTCGAAGCATAAATGCTACTACGGCATTAAAGCACATATTGGAAAACTTCACATGAGATGCCCGTTTCTGAGGAACTATATCGTGATAATAGCGTTACTGCCGGAACAGAAAAAAAGAAATCGTCGGAATTCTCGCCTTGAATCGCCGAGAGAAGGGAAAAATTCACATTCAGAGGAAGGTTGTTCACGCACACTATTGTGCGTACAAAGTTACGCGTACGGTACTAATGTTGCTTCTTGCATATAAATTATATATTTAACGCTGTAAATGATACGAGTATTAAATTAGATTTAATTAGATATAAAACGCATAAAACAGCGAACCATTTAATTATAATATTCAATTATCATCATAATACGAGATAGGTATCATTTGAATACTTTGAGATTTATCAGTAATTAACAATCTTGACAAATTATTTACATGACGTATTGTCATCACAATAACATTATTGAATTTAAATAATTTTAATGAAATGCAAAATGTGTGTGTGTGACTAAGTACCGTTAGGGATAAGTGTATATAATGTTTAATGAATAATATATAGCGATTGTGATCAATAACCGAATCGATCATTATGTAAGCATATGAAAATGGCAAGTTGTTTTTTTTATCATCACAAATATTAGTTACTCAAGCGCATTGTCTCGCTCTAATAACAGTAAGATTTAAATAAGCATGTGTTTACGTAATTGCAAATCTTTGAAAGAAATATATTAGGAACTGCCAATGAAACTTTTATTGGAAACAGAAAATAAATTATTTCTAAAACGCAGCAATTCTCATTATAGCATTTTTAATACATTAAATTATGATAATGTTCTATTTGTTTTGCAAGTTTCAAAGTAACTATAAATTATGCTTTATAATGTTGCCCTTTAAAACATGACCAAAAATTTATCCGATAAATTTACATATATATAATATATACATATCATATGTGTATAAATTAGAAACATTTTATTTTAAGCAAAGGTATTTAGGATTTTTTAGAATTTATTTTTATTTTCTAAACTATATCTCTTATAATGAGATGTCATTAACATTCTTTTCTCTTATAATGAGATGACATTAATATTTAATTATATTAAGATACTATTTTAATATAATGGCATATATGGAAATAAAATATGAACACTTAAAATATTTCTTTTTTCCTTCCTTTTTATAAAACTAGACAACACAAGCGCGCGCGAAGCGCATTTAAAAAATTGATATATATATATATATATATAATCTATATTCAGTTTTATACTTATTTAATGTATACATTTATCCCCTTCCTTTCCCGTAAAGGATCGATCTACATTTATAAATTATTATATACGCAATAAAATTGTCATATTTATTAATTACACAATATAATTTTGTGAACATAATTAAATATAAAAAAATTTGTATGTGTTTATTTTAAATATTTTTTAAATTTTATTTAAATATGACTTTAATATCTATGACTTATAAATAGTTATTTTTTAGTTTAACAAATGATACATCACAACAAATAGTCTAGTCTAGAATGCCGCACTGTGTTTATCTTGACATTCACTCACCTTGTCACTTCCTTTTTTCCACTTTCTGTTTAATTCCGGCGATGAATTGAGTGAAGGATTAAAACTGCGTCGTCACACTGCCGCAACGATTGTCGAAATACGATGATTCTAGCAGGTGTACTTTCACTTATATATATATATATAGGCACATATACTCTGCTTTTCCTTTCGTCGACTGAACACTGGCATTCCACTTAGATATTTACCACGAAGGCACACGTTTCTCGTTAACTCTTCTTGTTTTGCTTTTTCTCCTCTAGTTCCTTTTTTTTCTCGCTCGATTTCTTCCTTTCCGGTTATTCCGGTTATTAATCGTTATTCCAGTTATTTCTGATCTTTTTTTTTGTAAAACAGCTAAGGTAACTTTGTGCGACGCATAAGTTATTCAGCGTGATCGTAGTTTGATCTCTGGCAGACTACTGACCAAGAGAGAATGCCTCCTCCGATTGATATGACATGTACTCTTATATAGAACCGGCTATGAGGACTCTGAATTGTTAGTTATCCCCCTCTTCTGGAATCATCGACCACGTCAGCGCGAGCATGGTCTAAATTTTTCGCCAAATATATTCGGAGAAATTCATTTTAAAAGTACCATTTACTTACATTCCCCAAGTATGGTCAGTTTGAAGATCAATTATTTCAAAATATATGATTACGTCTTTTTTGAACTTTTACTGTATCTAACTCTTCGTATCTAGTTTTTTATTTTATTATAATATAATATATAGAATAATATAATAAAAATTACAAAATAAAAGTTTCTTACTTTATTCTTTTATGTAAATGTAAAAAATTTATTATTTTTGTATTACAGTAATTTGAAATGTCACTCATGGTTGGCTTTGTAATTACAAGTTATCATGAGTATATAATACACATTTAAAGAAAAGTTACTTTTAAATTATACATATCAAATACATATATTATGTGCGTATATATAATAAATGTTTATATTATTATTACTTTCTGTTGCATAATTATTTTTTTATAAATTTTTCATTTATTTCTATATTTTTATCATTTTTATATGTTTATTATTATTTCAGTCAAATAAATTTTAAATATAAATTGTGTGCTTATCAATTAAAATCAACAAGTGAGCATGATTATTCCTAACATATCAAATCGCTCCAAAAACTAGCATTTTTATTTCTTTACGAAATTATAACTAGAATTGCATTATCAGTCAATAAAATTTTCATATTCTTATGTAATTATTTTAATATTGTAATGGCATACAAAAGTACAAAAAAATATCACGCATAGACATATATCTGTTAATACTGGTTTTCTCAAGGTTTTATAATCGCAACTACGATATTTTTAACGAACAAGAGAGGAAAATTTTTTATTATCAATGTGGTCGCGCTAGTATTTATTAGAATAATACGTCAGGTTCGTATTTTGCTTCAACATTATTAATCATTTAGTTTATGAGCTCGTGCCAATGTGATGAAAAGGAAGAATCCAAGATAACGGGACGTTCATTTTCCTATTTGCATCGCAATCTTTCAATTGCCGCAATGAATGCAATCAATAAAAATCTACCTAAGTTAATGCTGAACAAATTTATAGATTTTAATATTTTTGATATTTATTAACAAACTTTTTTATTATAATAAATCATACAATTTTATACTCGCAATATAAAGATTAATCTTTATTTTAGAATTTAAATGAAATTTAAGTGTTTAATTTGAATTTAAATGAAATATATCTTTATTAAAAATATATTTTTTTATCAGTGATTGAGTGTGGGGTCTCACATCAAAGGAATCAATCAAAAATTCAATAATTAAAGAATTGCGATAATTTTTTTTCAATATTTCGAAATCTTTGTGTTACGATATGCAAAATTTTAAAAAATTTTGGTTTTTGCTTTTATTCTAGAGATTTCAAAAGATATATATTAACTTATCTTAGAACCGATAAAGAAACAATAAATTTTACATTGGTATTATGATATTTTTTACGATCGTTGTCTGTAAAGTTTGTATAACTCGAGAAAAATTATTAAGAGTCATTTTTAAACAATAAAACAATAATGCCGCTGCAAATGTAAAATAGATGTTCATAAATAATTACTATATACGATAAGAGTAAGTATATACAATATATTTTAATATTTATTTAATATTTCTCGAATGTTTTATTTCTCGAGTATAATAGTACATTTTAAAATAATATGGAAAAATATGATATACGTGAAATATGAAATGTATATGTTTTTTATGCAATAATGGAAATTAGGATTTAATTTATATAAAAAATGCTTAACTCTTTTGTTCTTTTCTATTTTACTCTTGCTCAGATACTTGCTAATTCATGTATCTCTATTTTTTACGTGGTATTTCCGAACTACGTGATATCTTTTTACACTTTTACAACAAGGGAATTCCAACGCGATGGTTCTCAGCCAGGTCAGTCTGAGCATTTCCCCATGACGCATGCCAATTCTTATAGAATTATTCAATTATGTCTGTTTCATGTACTCGTTTATGAATGGCGAGTATTTTCAAAGAAATGCGCAATCGTAATACAGTAGTTTTATATGACGCACGTGTAATATAAATGATTCTTTAATAAGGCGACAATCAGGTGTGTTACGCCGGTTACATTTGTGCAGTATCATGACAGCATATAAATATATTGTGTACAGAAAGAGATTATATAAACAGAAATAATTATCAAATATTTAATAATTTATTATATTAAATTATATAAAACTACATGTATACAGGATGTCCCGAAAATCTGTTAATGGCAGATTCCTGGAATCATTTGGAGACGATTTTTCTTCAGTGAAAATATCGAGGCAATAATTTTCAATTTAATTGTAGAAATAAAATATTAATAAAACCACATTCTTTAATTAATTTCAAGTATAGTTTACTTTAATAAAATTTTAATTTAAGGCTTAGTTACAAAGATACATAATGGCAAAATTGGGAACATGTAAAAAATGATGGCCTCTCTCTCTCTCTCTCTCTCTCTCTCGATATTTTTGCTGAGGAAAAACCGTCTCCAAATGGTTCCAGGAATCTGTCATTCATGACAGATGATTCATGAGTTTCGGGTTTTACCCTGTATACATACATGATACACAAGTACTCGCAATTATTTCCTTTCCTTGAGAAAGAGCATTGCCATGCAGATTGCGATGCATTTACATGGGTCATGGTTCGACTTTTCACTCGAAGAGTATCCAATTATCTTGAGCGGTCGCGACGATGCGCGTTAGGTAGATGTTTTGCGTGTTACGTAACATGGATTGATTGGCCATTTGATTGTGTCAAGTGGAGAGAACAATAGCTTGTCTATTCAGTCAGGCATAGCCTCGTTTTACCATCTTAATCTGTCACATCCGCGGTAACCTTACCCTCCATTTTATGACGCAGGCTTTTACGTGCCGGAAGTTTTATTCTGTTGCGCGACCGATAATATTGAGAAAAGGCGAAGGTTGATTTTCGCGAGTGCCTATTGTGCATCGCGTTATTGTCGAGTAATTGCATGATAAAGTCGATGAAGCTTTAGTTCGTGATTTATAACACACAATACATGAGAGTATACTATGTTTATTTAACGATAAAATAATATACAAATAAAAAATATAAAATATATATCAAAAATAATATAAAAATAACAGAAATAAAAAATTTTTGGAATATATATCATAATTTTGAATTATAATACAATTTTAATTTATAATTTTAATTTTAGTATATGTCAAATTAATTATTATATAAAACCTGTATTAATTATTAATACGTGTTTTTTTAATTTTTAATTTAATCTTAATTCTGTTGTATTAGTGATTCTATATTTTAGATGCTTGTTAATATGCGATGATTTGCGTGTTTAAGTCTTCCATAGCAAGATAAGTTTATTACATACTCATTTAATGGCAAATCTGCTGATTTTATTCGTCTTTTATTTTAATTAATATATTATTTATTTATGCAAACATAATTAAATTGGCATACTCGATCATAGAAATAATGCATACATAGAACACATTGGAGTTATTTTAATTAGAAATTATTAAGTGAAAAGTAAACTCTTTTTTATTGTTAGATGTGTTGAGATTATTGTATAATAAGATTACAGAACATTAGTAGATATATGAAGATATATTAATTATACTATATACATATATGTTTATATCTGTGTTATATAAATATGCAATTACTACAACTAAAATATGCACATGTAAGAAATATTTAATCGCAATTTTGATAAATCTCATTGTAGTATAATACGAGATAATAGAGAATTATATGATTTATCATTTTCATATTTTCTTTTTTATATGTATATGTCTGTATATATACATAAACGTCGACTTATATAATATATATTGTAATTACGCTTGATCACCTAAAAATGCATCGTAACGAGAAATAATGATAATATTCAATTTATGATAATATTCAATTTATGATTAGATCATATGAATAATATTCAAAATATTCAACTATCAAGAAATCTAAATAAGATGTACAATTAAGATTTTACACTATATATGGTACAAATTAAGATTTTATTACAAGTATTGAAGTGATTTTAGATTAATTCGAGATAAAATAAAATAATGAAACATGTTTACGAAGAAATACAGATACATATATTAATGACTGGTTTTACTTTGTACTATTATTTTAAAACAGAGTTATTTTAATTAGATCGCTGCTTTATATCTACTGTTTATGCAAGTCATTAGCCCTCAAGTCAAACGCTTTTCTCGGATACAGAACTCCTTTCGCTACCCGTCCTTTGTGGAGTGCGCAACGCTCGCTGATTGCGGGTGGTTCTAGTCGTAGATAGCTCTCTGTCGCTGCCCATTCTCCTCAGGCTGGTGTCTCTATCCGAATAATCTTTACCCTTAGGGCATCTCGGTCCGTTTATGTTCGCGTAGATAATATAGACTGCAAAGATTCCCACCAGGAACATCGCGACTCCCACGCTGCTTATTGTATATATCTGTAATCAGCGAAAACGAGTTTATATTGTATTTATGATATTTCGGTTTTCCCTCTAAATCCCTTTAAAAGAGCTCTTCTGAAGAAAGACAGGTTTTTCAACAATTTCTTATTATTCGTTACAATGATTTTTAAGGTGCAGAAGGAAGAAAAATATTGAAAGATCAATTTTTATTATACTCGCGAAAGATATGATTTTAAAAATTTGTAATGCATTAAGAGGAGAGAAAGTATATCTTTTTTTTAATTTTTCCTACGTGTGATCTGTCACGAAAGCAATGAGATCGATTACAGCTTTGTAACTGTTCTTGTACAATAAAACGGAGTATACCATTGTCCACCATTCGTCGTCCTCCATTCCCGAAACTAGGACCGCTTTGCTAGCGTCCTCATCTAGCTTCTTGATCTCTTTAACGGTTGTGGCGCATCCTGTTAACAGTTCATTCTCTTGATTCAGTAATCTCTTGAATGTATATGGCATATCGTCGCTCTCTCTCGCTATACGGCTTTCCTCGGTTTCTTCTACATTGTCTTCCTTTTCGTCCCATTTGCCCTCGCTCCAATAAACTTTCGTCCTGTTCTGGCGAACGATCACGCTACCCAGACGCTCCAGATTACTTGTTCTTGTCTTCACAGATAGATCGAGAAATCTCGATGCTGTCTGTGATTCTATGTTGTGTGTTAGTGACATGTTCGATACCACGTGATTCCAATCTAGGGGATTTATTTGATTTTTACATTTCTTGTTTTTGCTGTAAAATCAGATTTTGGTGGATTATATTTTGCATTATAAATCATGATCCAATAATAGTATGTGTTTTAGGAAGAGTTTTGCTTAATCAATTTTATCAGTATTCAACTATTTATATATGTATATAATTGATTTTTATATATGAGATAATTATCAATTAGTCAAATAGACATTTTGCGATGCTCACCATGATATTTGTAAAGCTTTCACGTAAATTTCTATAGCATTCTCTAACCATCTGACTTGTCTGAGTTCCTCAGCATCATATGTTCCAGACCCGTTTTTAGTTGCCCACCATTCCGAATTTTCGACTCTCCATTGCAGATTATGAACTGTATTTCTGGTGAAAAAATCAATTTGATATGAAATATTTTTATTATATAATACATACATACATAGATATATACAATATGTATATATGGAGAAAAACAATATTATTTTATAAGGAATATTAAACACACGTGTATGTACATGCTAACATATATGTTATATGCATAATATATATGACATGACATGTTTATTTATCAATGATTTCATGCGCAGTTATAATTATGTGATTGATTTTAGCTTGTGAGCACACATTACGAATTCATTAGCAAGTCGTTATAATAATTAACATTATATGCTTCTACGGAGTAGCTTTGATCTTTTCTATTTTAAGTAATAGCTTATAATTATCCATTGAACATGATAAAATATTTTATACATGCCATATGTATGCATTTTAATACAGTGGCTTATCATAAAAATATACAAAAACATATTTAATATTGCAAACAAGTATTTTAAATAGATCGTATTATAAAGCGGTTTCTTTGTATACATTTCTCACACGTATAATACGCGTCATATATCATAATAACGTCCGTAAATAATTTTTTTTTAATGAAACAGCTTACATTAATTTTTTACATAGTTTCTTTTTTATTAAATTTTTTGTTGATGAGAAATTTGGTAGTAACAAAAAAATATTATTTTTAAAAGGTACAAATGTCTGTTGAGTTGAAAAAAATTGCAAATCTAATTTTTTAATTCTAATTAATAATTGAAAAATACTAATATTGTATAATACTTCTGATAATAGAAACATTGCTGGCATAAAAATATTTAAATAAACTGAAGTCGCCCCCCAGTGATGATTAAAAATAACTCTTAATTTATTCAGTTCGAACTGAATAAATTAAGAGTTATTGCTGGCATAAGTTTATACTTATAACAGAATTTTTACTTTAAAAGATATAAATATTATATAATTTAGATTAATGAGTTGTGTGTATATTGACGTGATTTCTTATCATATCTAATCATAAATAAATTTTAGTTATAAACTTGTCAGACACGCATTTTTGCGTATTTATCATATTCTCTCCGAAACAGCTGTTGTTCATTCATATATGATAACGAGAAATCTTGAGATTTCTCTGCGTTGATTTGAGGATAACCTCGGCGCAATTGCTGTTCCGGAGAATGAAAATGTTGGGAAAAAGCGAAGATACGGGCAATTTTACCATGAGTTGTAGAGGATCCTTCACCTCAATTGAGTTTGACACATTTGACGGAAATAGAAATCGCGTTTTCAGACAAGTATATATATACATGACATCTTATAGACGCATTATTGGCACACGATATACGACACGATCGATATAAAATTATTGTATCACGTAAGTGCATAATTAAGGTTAAACATTAGCAATGATTATAGGTAGTAACATAAAGCCGCTAATATTGAAGTTTATTATATGCGCGTTTTTTAATAAGATAACTTTTGCCACCGACGAGTTTTGCTAATAATGAAGTATTGTGATGTAAATATATACATATAACATAAAAACAATCGGATTTCATCAATTATATATAATGATCGCCTTTAGATCTCAATCGCGTTAAAATCCTTCGTAATTTATGGACGAATTTATGAATAATCTTCTATATTCAATTATTCGTCTTTACGTAATCTTTATCAACGATTCGTGTACATAATACTTCGTCGAGGCACAGTTTGTGATTAATAATAAAATAGTATTAGTGCGAGTACCAGAACGATGTACTGCCATTATATATTTATGCATATATTTGAAGGTTTGTATTATGTGTGTGTATAAAAATTGTGATAATTATTACACAGATAATATATTAAATTATTTATATCGTTTTGTTGATTATATATATAATTATATTTTATATCGTTTATATATATCGTTTATATATATATATATATATATTATATATTATATATATATATATATATATATTAATATAAGAAATTATATATTTAAATTTGATTACTCTAATTTTGCTATATTTTAATTTGCTATATGTTAGCACACTTTACACTTTATGTTACAGTTTAGTTTATTTTAAATAAATTACTTTTCATTTTTTAACATTATGATAATTACAAATTTCATTATCATATTATAATGGATTTTATTCTATTATTATAATTTTCGAAACATAATATGTTTAAATAAATTAAAAATTTATATAATAGATAAAAAATTTATGTATTTGCAATGTTAATCTTTAAACATAATTGAAATATTTCGTAAAAATATGCAAATCTTTGAAAATTTTCTATTCTAAGGAATTTTTTTATTGGTAAAAATATATTTATTTTCAAATATTAATTAAACAAAGCAGTATGCATAATTTGCAAATAAATTTTGTTATTAAACTTTTTAATAATTACCTAGAATCTTCCAAAAGCAGTATAGTGTTAGTTGATTTTATGCGATTTAAATAATCTTTCAAATTTCCTTCGCTGATAATTAGTACAGTTGCGTTGGTAGATTCATTGAAAAACTTCTTTTCCGGTTTTCCAATATATACGATGTGAGATGTATAATCTATAAAATTAAAATTGATATATTTACTATACACACTATTCTAAAAAGGATCTAGGAAAAATACCGAATTCAGGATAGACTAAACTAAAATTGAAATTTTTTAAGATAATTTTAAACTTTATTTATTACCTTTCTCATTATTATCATGAACTATAACGCACAAATTCTTAGTAATGGCATCCATCATTAGTTGTTTTGCTATATCTTGTATGTTATCATTGTTTTTATCGTTAACATTAGCTACTAATGTGAAAGATTTCCATTTTAAGATTTCTATTATTCCCAAAATTCCCTATAAAAAATTAAAAATTTTAGATTTTATAATAAATATTTTATTAATATAAAATGAAGTGATAGAAGAGATTATAAGATAAAATGACAGTTTGAATATATTTAGTAATTTAAATAAATGGAATTTAAATAAATGGTAATATTTTTTAAGAGCCATTATATTCAACTAGATTTTTTTTTAAATTATATCACGTTTTTTCGTGCCTTATTCTGTAGTTTAATTGTATTTGGTATAATTATTCATTTATCAACTATAATTATAATACTGGTTAGTATTGCAACTATTAGTTTGATCGTATTACTTACATCTGCTAAAAAATATATATTATCAATAGACGATAATAATATTTACATATATGTATTGTATATAAGAATATAACTATAATGAGCAGAAAACAAGGAAAAATTATAAATTCAAACATTAAATATGAGTAAGAATTGCAAAAAATATACGTATTCTTTGCATGTGTGTGTCATTATAAATGCGCTGTGGCAATAAAAGACTTAGTGGTTATTTGCGGATGTTCAGATTTTCCTCAATTAACTTATGTATTCTATTTATATTCAATCGAGCTAACAATTTAGTTCTGTATAATTTTATACGTAATGTCTTATTTTTAACAACACAACTTGCAACGCATGATATAAAAATTTAATTCGATAAATTGCTATTGAAATTTTTATTACAAATATATTTAAATAATGATAATATAGATAATATCTCTCTATATGTGTATGCAATTTTAAAAAAATATATTAGAAGCCCATTTTTTTTAAATTAACAATAAAAATGAGCTAAGGAACCAACACAGTAAATAAAGCGTAAATTAATAGATTTATTAAATCACATTATACAATCTATTAATTTGCGCTTCATTTACTGCGTTGGTTTCTTGGCTTATTTTTATGTTAATTAATTATCTTATGCAACCTTTGTTTTTATGTATATTGATCTATTTTTTAATAATATAGTAAAAATAAAACTAGTTATAATCAATGTATTGGATGCATATTGCGAAATCATTGTAACATTTTTAAATGCTTGCGTAATGATTCACGTTATTATTGCAGTATGCATAGATCACGATAAGATCAGCATTATAGCTTAACTGTTTCGATCGTCAAATAATTATTTCTATCGGTTTATAGAACAAAGTTTTAAAGCTCTCCACACATAAGCAATAATATTGAAAATATAATTTTCAATTAACGGTAAATACCTTTATTAGGTAAAAATTCGATTCTTTTGCCAAAGAATGCAAATATGGAGAAATCGATGGCGTTTTCACGATATGTGGCACTTCTAATATCGAAGTCACTTTATGCACTACTTCAGTATCTGTCATAGTGTCCGATTCGATAATACCTAAATAAGTACAGAACATATATAAATCAATTGATACAAATAATTATTTAAATTAAATAATTATTTAAATATTCCTATATAGAAAACACAAACTTTATGCGTATAGTATATGCTCTCTTTTATTTATTTATTAGATTATATATTTTATTTTTTAATAAATTTTTCTTAAAACAATTATAAATAATTATGAATATATATATTGTAAACTAGTTGTGAAATGATAATAATTAGATATACACTATTTGTATACCGATGTAACCGACATATTAGAGGCTTTTTCGATACCATTCTAACATTGTTAAATACTTGCGTAATAATTCACGTTATTATCGCATTATGTAAAAATCACGATAAGCTCAGCAAGTTAATTGTTTTGATCGTCAAATAATTATTTCTATTATATAATTATACATTTTATTTTATAAAAAAATAAATTTACAAAAAAATCTAAGTTATAAAATTTAAATTAAAAAATGGATAAGTTAATTGTTTATTACTCTTTGATAAAGAAATTAGTGTCGAGGAGATCTTTACCTAAATAATGAGGTGGATGCAAACAGTTGATATTCGCCCATACTAGAGCCTTCATCATTGCTTTCAGAGTGCCCGTTATACTTCCGCAAGTATCGAAAACAGTAATTCCTATAAATAGTTTGTTTCTTGCTTGAATTTGTTATTCCACAATATTCTATTCTACTTTGTATTATTATCGACGATTGATTAATCGAATATGTTTCTCTTAAATTAATTGATATTCGTATATTAGGAGTGTCCGATTGAATCGGTTACTTTACTTTTCAATTTTTACCAATTTTAAATTCATCGGTTTTGTTATTGTAAATCTCGGCGAACAATTTGGCAGCCTCGTAGAGTATGACGCCCTTTGTTGACACTTCCGTGCACGATGCATCATCGTGCACGGTTGTTAGGAGTGAAATTTGCGCGGTTTTACCGCATTCCGTGCGTGCACCGCAAGTGCACGCAGCAACTATCACGAAGATTGCACACCAGATTTGTGAGAAGTCCATGTTTCTATAAAATGGATTGATATTTCATCGATTTTTTTTCAGATTCTTAAAAATAAAAAAATAACAAATGCTTTATTCTCTCTCTCTCTTCTTTGTGCGACTTTTTAAGGTAGCACAATATGGATATTAATATTGATATTATTAAATGACCAAAATATATATTTTACCGTAAACTGACTAAGCGTCGCAAAATAAAACAATTCTTTTTTATTAATTATAGCTAATTAAAAATATTTGGGGTATAATTATGTCTCCGTAATTTTATTTGTTAATATTGTCTGAATGATTTAGCATATAATGCTATTAATTATGTAATAAAATGTGATGCATTTATTCTATCGGACAAAAGCAATTACACATGATGAAATTTTTATGTATACAGAATTTTATGTATACACACTATTTTACACAATGATGTTCTTTTTAAAACGTATAAACAGTATAGTGTCACAGTGTCACGTCTCTTGTAATAGATTTCACTAAACTACCTCTCTCAAGTGCAAACCCTGATATTAAATTCCGGAAGCTTTATAAGCTTTATAACCGCATATATTATACGAATTTGTAAGGTTTTATTGTGACCTCGAACAACAGAAGTTCTCAAAATCCATTGAAAGAGACAAAAAGAAATATTATAAATAAAAATTTTTTGAAAGAAAACTTCCTATAGGAATTATAATAAAAAAGTAGAAAATTTAATAATTAGTAGATAGCATATTTATTAAATACACACACACACAAAACAAAATATTATATTATAATTGATTACTTTTATTTTGTGTTTTAATATAAAATTATTTTTCATATTTAAAGTATTGGTTGGGTCATATATTTTTCTTATTAAATCAACGCAATTAATAAATTTTGCATTGACAGTATTTCTTGAAAATCTTCATTTATTTCAATCATTAATTCATTGCTTTTTTTCGTAGAACTTCAAAAAGCATGCAGGAACGTTTATCTTACTCTGCGACATTATAATTTGATTTTTTATATGTTACAATATAAAGACAAATAGAATTTTAAATGTCAATGAGAAAAAGGAAAAGAAACGAAAACATTATCAATTTTGAGATAATAGATATTTGTTGATGAATATAAGATATTTAATAAATTATAAAATATAATTAAAGAAATGCTTTTCGTAAAAAACAATTATACAAAAAATTTTTAAATTATTAAAAGTTATTTTATATTTTTATTTATTTCTTTATAAAAAAATTACTTTCTTGTATTATTGTTTACTAAACAAATTATATAATAATAATTTTTTTTCTTCATTTAATTTGATTTGAGAACCTCTCTTAATTCACATATAAGCTCGTTAACATAGATAGCTACTAAGAGAGGAATCCTTTATTTAATCCTTCTTACATCGCATTCTCTCTTGCGTAACTGTTAGATAATTAGAAGTATATTAAAGACATTACATACGAGCATGTTTCTTTTCAAGTACGTCAAACATTAAAAAAATTATAAAGTATAAAAAAACTTTCATTATTGATATACACGCAATACTTGTACACATATACGTATGTACCTACTTTATTTTTTTATGATAGTTATCATTTTTCTTAAGCACTTTTGGTACAGTAGAATAAGCTTTTCTTATACTATTTAATAAGGATTTTATGATAGGAATTTTTTTATATAACAATATTAATAATCTTGATAACACAGATGGCGATACAAATCAATAAGATAACGTATTGTGACGAGTATGAGAATTATATTAATCCTAATGAATAATACGAGGTGGCACCACTGATCACACAACACGCACAATTTATAATTATTTCATAAAATTATAATAATACCTAAATATTAATGAGCGCACATATATAAATAATTAACATAATAAATATATAAATAATTTATAAATAATCAATTTATAAATAATTTATAAATAATATTAATAATAATATATAAATAATATATAAATAATCGACTTTATGACTAGCAATTAAATAATTTTGATTATCTACGAAGTACAGTATGCGTTAATAAAAATTAAAAGGTTTTATACGTATAGTCTCTATTATTAATTTTATAGTTTTTATGAATTATGACGAGATAATTATTTTTTTGTCATCCTTGAACTTTACACTTTTCTCAACACAAACAATACATATAGCATTTAGTATGTTTTGACTACTATATTATATGAGATTTCGCATTGATGAATCTACTTGCAAAATAAGTTATTATCAAATTGATAAATAAGACATCAATTTCGCAATTTAAAAAATCGACATGTGATTTAACGAACGTTTTCTTTGTGAGGAAATAATTCGAGCAATTCTTTGACAATCGCGCAGATAAAACATATCCACGTAGGCGGTCCATAACATACACAAAATAGACATCCACTACGATCGAGTTATAATTCTTTCAACCGGGCATATGCAGCCGGTTCGCGAATCGAATCTTCGCACTTCAAAAAGACGAATAAAAAAAAAGCGCGAAAGGATATATTTGCACCACGTCGGCCCATTACTTACGTTGGCGCAGGACCAACAATAACAGTGACAGACTTTTAAAAGCTAGAGTCGCCTGCGAGTTTCGTATCTCAAACCTCATCCTCACACTTTTTAGTCGTGATTCGGTGGTGCAGACACAGCTTGCCATATCTTCACCCATCTTTATCCGTAAGTTTGTCGGACGTTCGATAAATCCTTGGACAGGTCCTTGTCAAGTAACTTCATACTGGACTTGGTAAAATGTATGCGAATATAAGAGAAAAAAAGGACATTACAAAAGATACGATGGAAAATTTACTTCTCTCGCTTGTGTTTTCCGCAAACTCCATTTTACTCTCATGTTACGTTTGGGTTTAAGAGGGTTTATTTTAGCGGCATGTGCTAATATTGTTATGTCAAAATCATTGCCGGGTCAAGTGGCGTAACTGAGGCTGTTGAATAATGCAAACTGGGTCAATGCGATCATTTATTTGATAAGAGTAACAGTTGTCTCTTTTAATGATTTTTCGATGTTTATTGAATGAATATTTATTGCTCTTATAATTTTGCAGTCATTAATAATTTATTGTTATCGGAAAATCATTGCTTTACCTTGTTTATTCAATGACTCCGATTACTCGATTTTATCTTATGCACATTTCAAACTCATTTTTATTATAGCAATTTATTGCTGCTTAAACTAACTCTGTTCATTTTTTGTCAGATTATAGATAGATCATAAGTAGCAATAACAAATGAAAACATAAATAAAAAATCGATATATGTGTATAATATATAAAAAAAAAGTATTAATTAATTTTACACAATGACACACACACATATCAAGAATTTTTAATGCAAGAAAAGTAATAATCTTAGTTTTCTCTTCGAGAATGTGAATCATTGTCGTGATTGTTATTTTATAAACATCTTGCGTAAATCTTCTGTCAAGCCATCGTCAAGTCGTTGTCATAATCTTTTTTTTTAGTCATCATTACGAATGATTTTAGTCGATCGCGAGATATCGCCAACGTCGGTAAATTATAGTCACTGCTTTTAGCTTTGGTCTATTCAATGTTTATCTATCCTATGCCATATGTTTCAAGACACGTTAAAGATCGTCGGATGCCATATCGATAGGACAGATTCGGGACACATCCATAAATTGTCACAAAGTTAACAGAAAATAGTTTACTATAAAGAACTAAATTTTATAATTTCAAAATAATTATTATATATTTGTATTGGATAAATGTTTAAAAAAATTGTGAATGATAAATGGTAACTTTTTAAGAACATAAAATTTTTCTCAAAGAAAAGTTATCTCCCAAACTTCACAAAGGACAGTCTTTTTGATTAATTTTATTTTAATTAAAAGACTACATTATAAAGATGCTTATATTTATAATGCTTCTTTTAATTAAAATGAAATTAATTAAGAAGAGTATAGTGTTCTTTGAGAAGTTGGGAGACAACTTTTCTTTTAAAAAAATTTTATATCCTCAAAAAATTATCATTTATTAACTCATAATTTTTTAAATATTTATCCAATACAAATATATAATAATTATTTTAATTAAATTACAAAATTTAGTTCTTTATTTCCGTTTACTTTTCACACTTATGTAAAGATGTCACGCTTCTGCGAGATTTCTGGTGTCACCCACGACATTAACACTGACAAATGCCCGCGAGAGTTTATCCGTAATCGACTGGAAACGTGAGAACTGCCCTAGATTTCATGATGCAAACTTTCGAGAATAAAGCAGCAAGTACTTTGGCTATCAGTAACTTTACTAGAAATCCATCTGAGACTTTAGATGCAACACAACATTTAAACATTAAATTGAATGGATTGATTTTTGACATTGAAATTGATTGACTTTTTTACAACAGAAGCTTTATATTTATATTTTCTTTATTCAATAATAAGAATAAAGTTCTTTATGGTTAGATAGATTGAAATTAAATTCAGAATTTGTATGTTAATTTTAGATATTAATATATATTCAAGATTTCCAACTGAAATAAAGTAAATCTCATAAAGTGGATCTTATAAGAGCATATTCTTGCTCTGGATCTTATCTTGCTTTAATGATGGAATACACTTTACGATTAAGCAACATCAAACAAGATTAATCAATAAACCTTTAAATTGCATTTACTACCATTCATTATAAACTGTCGCGTCGACATTTTTCCTCGCTCGGCGTAATTACGTCGCTTCGCGAGCTTTGTCGTCGTTTCTTTAGCCGTCGGTGCATTTGAAACTTACTTTATGTGGATAGAAAGATTTTCGAGCCGTTTAGCAAGAATGATGAGTCTTCTCAGACGTAGAAGCACATCAGAGTGTTGCATGCGCGTGACCCAATATGGAGAAATTGAGTCTCTCTCCGTTATACACCTACGTGTTATTCAGTGTGCATTCAAGTGGCAATCCTAAGATTGATTGACTAGGCGATCGGCATAAATAGAATACTGTATTCTTCGCGAGTAAACGCTTATGCGCTCACTCGTCTCTCCCATCTCATGGACATGAAGAATGTCACAGATGCAAAGTGTCGCAAGAGCAATGTATATTACCGTTTACTTAATGAGCTAATGTTAAATAATGAATGATGATTCATGTATTCACGCTTTGACCATTTAACCGCAAAACATTTAGGATGAAAGCAAATAAAATTAAATGGATTACTTGGAAAGCTTCTCACTATTAATTTGTATCATTATTTTATATCGATTAATAATAATAATAATAATAATAAATAATAAATTAATATACGCGTCACATAATTGCAGTGAGAATCAATCTTGTTTGTTGGTAATTTTGAAAAAGCTCTTTTGTTTATTGCAGCTTAACATCAACAAAGCGAAATGTAAAATGTGATGATAGATGGTTTGATTGAAGTGTTCCCACATTTGACCAATCAAGTACAGATACATATTCATCAATTACAAGTACAACGATATATGCATAGCTCTAGCATTTATGTAACAAAAATTCAAATTCAAACCACTAGTAAATATATAGCTAAAAAATAATAGCTTGAAATTAAAAGAGATAATTTCTCGATATATTTTTATCTTTATATCAAGATATCGTAAGATAGAGTAATTATTAAATAAGAGAATTTTTATTCTTTACACGTCAAATATTTCGCGGAATAAAATTAATTAAAACGAATGGTTGCAATTAATAATGATAAATATTTAAAAATGAATACATGAGTGAAGAATTTAATATATGATGAAGATATATTGCCGCGAATCGCGTCGACTTTTATCACAGAAATGTTTCTCTAGTATCTATAACGTTTGAAACAATTGCGCGAAATTATTTGGGAAGTGCAGTAGCTTATTGTTATCGTGACGAGTGGTAAAACTCTCGTATTTCACCCACGCGGCAACCTAACAAAGTACAAACGGATTTCTCCCATGAATTTGGCGTTCGTTGATTACGCGACCTAGTTTAAATGCGCGAACGTCATTGGCGTCTTTCTATACTGACGTATCGATGAATAAAATCTGCTAACGTTCGTGTGACAGCTTGTGTTACATGACACCACGACACTGATTAAATTTTAGATTGTTGATGTAACGTTATATCAACGACAAAGATGTGATGTAATGAATTCTGACGATATAAGGCAAAACCAGCATGATTGTTTTAATCCATTAAACATTATAATTTAATGCTACGGACACAATTGATATGGTCTATGCTATGAAATATATTGATTTTATATCAAAAAAATATTCAAATAATTTTCGAGAATATAATAATATGTAATTGACAAATCGTTTGTAATTGTGTTCAGAAAAAAGTCAATTTTATAGTCTCATCTCGATTCAAATTTAGTTTAAAGATAGGAGAAATTAAACATTTTTTTAAAATGTTTTAATTTTGATTGGATATTAAATTATTTTATAATTAATATTTCCATTTTTATTTCTTTTGGCATCAAGATGATTTTTTACTGTATACTTATATAAAATTCTCTAGTAAATTAATATCTATATACTTAACATTGGAAGAGTTGAAATGATGAATTGATAGAAATTCTGTATGAAAATATCAGAGATAAAAATTTCAGGGAAAAGAGAAAACATAGGTCAGCCTATATCCAAAATTTTCAATAATAAAAAATATGTATTAAAAATATCCGTGCTTCAATATTATAACGTCATAACATATTGCTGCTATTGACAATGTGATATATTTAATATTCAATCCGTATGCATCGCTAAATCCTTAGCTAACCGCGCGCAAGTTCGACAATATTGGCCTACACATGTGTATGTGCGTTTGGAAAAGCCAGATTTGCGAGAACCGAGTAGATTGAACGCGGAGCTGGTGTGTACACTAAATCGTAAATGCAAATGGTCGACAAGAAACTTGATGTAGACAATTTAGATATTTAATGGATTTACCGCACAGTCAAACAAATTAATTATTTACAACAATTTTATTATTAAATAAGAGATGCTGTTCTAGAAATATGACTGCATCGGCTAATTTACATAAATAAAATTATAAAAATAAATAATATATATATGATAGAGGGTGACGCGGAAATAATAAATCTTTGTAATTTTACTTTAGAGAGATTTATAAATATTTTTCTCATGGTGATTTTCAAAGATAAATGCACTTTTTTAAATATAATATAATAGAAGATGATAGGGAAGATAACGCTATATAACGAATTTTTTGAATTTAAGTAATAAACTTCGTAAAATTTATTTATATAAATGTGTTAAGTTTATAAATTTTTATATGAGGAAGAGATACATTTTTTATGTAATTTATAAAAATCGCATTTTTGTCATTTGTGTAATTTTCTAATATTAAGAAGCGGAAGATTATACTGCGATTCTCCTCTTATCGACTATTTATTATGAAACTGTTGAACCGTAAAAGAGACTGTTCTAAAATGAGTTTTATGAGTTCCTTCTGGTTGAATCACGATTATATACATGACGTCAAAGTATCAATTGACTTTCAAAAGCTATCTACTAAATATCACATTTGAAAATTAATTTTAGTTAAAATTTCTCAGCAAGACGTAGAAATATTTTATTAATTGATGTTAAAATCATATATTTATTATGTTTGTTTTGTACGAAGATACTATTTCAAAGTGGAAATAATAATTTTATGTGATGTTTCTAGTTTAAAGGTATTTACCAAAATGTGTAAACAAGAAAGAGGAAGTTTGCTTGTAATTCTGTTTAAAATTTCATGAAAAATAATTAATCTATTAAGGAACAAAAATTGGAATAATCTCTTTATAAAATTATTCTTTATTTTATATATATTTATTATATTAATCAGAAATAAAATGATATATATATATATATAATATATATATTATTTGTATACATATATGATATTTTATTAATAAAAATAATTTTATTAATAAAAATTTGATAAATGTTTTATTTCTGGAAGAGATTAAAAGAAAATTTCTACAAATATTTAATAGTGCAATTATATGTGCTGTTATTTTGGATATTGCTATTTCTGCATTATTTGTAAAATAAATTATCACTAATGTTTATGATTATATGTTCGAGAATGTGATCATGCACATGTCATGGTCAATATTTTCACGTTTTACGAGAGTCATGTCATGTATACATTGGATTTATCATAAGTAAAACGAGACATGTACTCTTTTCTCTTATCAGTGATACATTCGGATATAGTACCCTTTCTTTGTCTATAAAATTATAAAGTGTATGAAATAATTAAACGTATGTTAACAAACAACTATAATAAAATAATAAAATATCACATGAATTAAAGCGATTATTAATCGCTTTAATTCATGTGATATTTTATTATTATTATTATTTAATTATAATTTATATATATATATATATATATATATATATATATATAATTATGCTAAAAAGATTCATATGTCAATAGCAGGTTTAATATAATATATTGAACATAATACATTGAGTGAATTTCTCTCGCTCTCTCTCTCTCTCTCTCTCTCTCTCTCTCTCTCTCTCTCTCATTTAAACAAATATCATTGCACACAATTTTGCGGTTTTAATTAAACCATAAAATTACGTGCAAAATCAACTTTTCATTTCGATAGAGTTTATACCAAAATTATATTGTAATAAAGTATCATAATATAAACTTTGTAATAAAATAACATATACCATATATACATATACAATATGTGTAATAAAATATGTATGTTGAAAAGTTACGAGAGTAAAATTATTATTATAAAATAATAAATTCTTCTCGAATGAAATAGTATCTTAAATACAATAAAATTAAATTATGTTGATATTTAGGAAAAAAATTCATTAATTATGAGAGATTCTTATGGATTGTGATAAAAAAATACTGTGATAGGGAAAAGAGAGTGCGCATGCTCTCAATGAAAGGGAGGTGCGTTCGAGAGTTTAGGCGGGTTGTAAGCTTCGTGTTCCATTCAGTTTACCGGCACTATTTGTACGCCACGGTTCGGGTTTCTCTTAGGCACGTGTAACTTGACAGGTGACAAAAAGGTAGTGGGTGCATCACGTGACCGTGTGATTGGTCAGACCAAACTGTTGTCAATCATTATTGCGCGTTGCACACAACGAAAATATATTTCTCATCTGCGGAGAAAGAAATAGACAATTCGATTAAAAAGACATTCAAGACATTTTATTATGCAACGTTTAACATCGTAAATCGCACGCTGAAGTTTAAGAATTTCTGATCGTAAATTTGTTCGCGACAAAATTGAAATACGATGTTCATTCGATACGGTGCAATTATAACTACGTTGATGCGATTGATTAAATGAAAATAAATTAAATTTAATTTCAGGAAATGCGCGAGTGATTGCGACTACACATTCAATCGAATTAAACACTGTCAGGACAAAATTGAAAATGGATTATTAGTTGTCTATAAAAGATTGAATTGTTCTCAATTCATTAGAATAAAATCATAGTCGCAAAGTTTCGTATTCGTAAAAAATATGAGGATCTTGATCGTTTACATGTGTAAATAAAATCTTGTCTAATTAACTAGCAGTTTATTAACTTGATTTTAGAAGCAATTATTGAAATAATTGACTCGTTAATTTCAAAAGAAAGTTTTTTCAAACTTTTCCGAACTTTAACACTTTGATACGAGAAATGATTCGAACAATAAAATTTTTGCTAAATATAATATGAAATAGATAAATTTCGTTTTTTAAAAAAATCACGCGTGAAATATTTTAGATGTTTGGATGTTTACGTTAATGGCATATCTGCTAATATCAAAACATGCGAAGTAGCTCTCCATTTGAAATTGGATGGCAACTATTCTGAGCGTGCTTCAAACTTTTAATGATTTTTCTCGCAAAGTTGAGAGTGCGATTCTTGGCATTGCTCTAGACGCGTTCTTCTCTCGCCTTGCCAATTCATAGAAAATTTATTGTACAAAATTGCACGGAGCATTGAGAATAGAATTCTATAGCACATCGTAGGATTTCCATCGAGGTAATGAGAAGAGAACATATAGATAATTTGAAATATTAATTTAGTGGTTTATTCAATAGATATCGACACTTTTTTCTTTTTATTACATTTATATAGATAAACTGCTATTCAAGTAAAAATATGCAAATTTATTTATTCATTTTACACGGTTACTTTACACATAAATAAATCGAGTTCATTAAATAAGAAAGTCGCAAAATCATGTTTTACAAGAACAAGAAAATTAATAACGGGCAAGAAAGTAATTTTAATTAGTCATGTGAAGACGTGAAATACCCAAGTTCTCAGACCTAGTCGAAGACCATAGAAGATAAACATTTGTTCGAAGCTTTTCGCAAATGAACTTACTATCCGAGCTATTCGATGAAGAAAGCGTTAAACGAAATCCCCTTTTAAGTGACGAAGCCAATCAGGATGTTTCGTAAAGCGGAGCTATTTCTCGCGATCTCTTTAAGAGCTCTTTCCACATCAAGGTAATTAATGGTGAATATAGGGAGACGAAAGACTTTATGATGTCACTTAACGTTTCTGACTCGATTAAAGTGACAGTTACATTAAAATTACTCGCAAAAACGACGAGCGAGATTCGTGACGTAAAGCATCATCGCGTCCTTGCGCCCTCTAATGCTGCGATTCCTAATGGATTTTCTCGAGCTGCATCTCGACACTCGGCAATTTCTCGAAATTCTGATCGCGAGAATCGTCGTGCCGGCACGGCCGATGTAAAATTGAAATTCCTCTTACGAAAACGCAAGAGGGAGATCGACGTGACGCTGCTCCGCGCGATCCGTTCTTCCATGTAAGGCCTGTAAATATGTAACTTAATCGGGGAAGCGCGGCAAATCGCCGGGAAGTGGAAGTACGTGATAGTGTAAACTTACTCGAGTGTACATGAGATACGTGATCGCGAGGGGATTTAGTAGTAGCGGCTGGCCTGAAAAGTGGAAAAGAACGTGGACGAGAAAGTAGAGGAAGTCGCGTTAGACATATATGAGGGGATAGACATATTAACGACACGATGTCTACCATCGCTTTTGAAAATTCCTCCTATTACACGACGGCGATCGGCAACAGTGCGCTCGACGGATTCTCAGGTAATCTCGAGACTTGGTGCACAGAGACAATTTGGAATTTTCTCTTACAATTTGCCCTGAAAATCATGCTAATCGTGGGGCAATATGATATTAGAATTTTATCAAAATTTCTTTAATTAATATTTACCACAATAAAAATATTAATATATGTACATAGTAAATTTTATTATGTGGCAAATATTAATCAGAGAAACTCTTATAAAATATGATACTTCCAATATCATATTGTCTCATGATTACCATGATTATCAGGGTAAATTTTGAAAGAAAATTCTTTCTGTGTTTCGTCAAAGGATGCTATGATAATTACGAATTTATAGTGTCCAGAGAGATCCTGATAAGTATTTCGCGTAATCTCGCGCATGATTACAGTAATCGAGCCGGAGAACGCCACTTCCGCCGCGCTGTACATGCTGCCTGCTTACATCCGAACGACTTCGATGATAGCCTGTATAATCGTCATGGTTTTGGGGATAATGGGCAATTTAATGGTAATTTTTGTTAAAACGTTTTTTCAATCCTTATTAGCAAAACAAAGAAAATATACAGTCGTCCACAATCGTTTATCCGCGATTTACGATATAGTATACTACACGGAGAGAATTTTCTCTTAGAATTTAAACTGAAAATCATGATCTTGTAAGAGTTTCTCTGATTCATATTTACTACAATAAAAAATATGAATATGTACATAGTAAAATTCATCGAATATATTTTCTATCTTATTGTGGTAAAAATTAATTAGAGAAACTCTTATTGCCTTACGATTAGCATGATTTTGAGGGTAAATTCTAAGAGAAAATTCTCTCTGTGTATGGCTCTATCAATGTAACCGACCTCTTTGTCCGGAACCGCTGTAGCTCCCGGGTGTGTAATATCCTTAGGTGCCGTTAGTCGTGCTGCGGGGTAAGGACATGAGGAACAGCACCAACATCTTCCTCGTGAACCTGAGCTTTGCCGACCTTTGCGTGCTCGTGATCTGCACGCCCACCGTGTTAATCGAAGTGAATTCCGGACCGCAAATCTGGCCTCTTGGAAAGCACATGTGTAAGTCCGCGTTTTGGTGTATTTCTATTCCTATCTTCTCTCTTGACCGACATGGACACGGCGCGATGATCCGTTAGTCAGTTAGATCCAAAAATATCGGAAGCTATATATTTCCTCGACGAATGTACATATATACGTTTTAATAGGTTTGCATCGCGCTTTCCCATTTCGCGAATCCGGTTCGTTAGCTGGCATGCATATTTTCTACTGCGTCACGAGAACTCGAATATGCGAGACTAATGCTCACCGGAATTTCCATTCACGATGTCAATATCGTATTTATAAAGACAGTTTTTTTCTCTTTCAAATTATTATATCACATGCGTACAAGAAGCTAAAAACTAAATCACCAGATGACAAATTATGGGAATTTTAATGAATTTTTATTTTATTCTTACCTCAGATTATTGATCACTTTAGATATATATATTTTCTAGTGAATATGCATACATTAATAAAACATTATATTATATATGTAGATTTTATAGTAAATATGCATAATATTAATATGATTGAGCTGGCGTGATAGCATGTATGAGTTATTAAAATGATCATGCCAGGGAAATTAATATCTCCTTTTAATTAATTTTAATTGAAAGATTGAAAGTTGAATTGGTACTAATATTTGACGATACGTAAAAGCGAAACAAATTTTGTCACTAAATTCGTTGGCATTGCCGCAATTATTATCGTTAAGCTTGCATATCGTTTAAAATGTACGATCTTCTTAGTCGCAGTCATGCAATTCGAACGTTAACATTGTTGGGCGCCATCCAAGAGCGAGGGCTTGTTCGCGTTAATTTGTCTCATAGCGTGACAGAACGGTGGATACAGGCTTTTATCCAGAGTGCATGGCAATGTCAGTCAATGCATCGCAAAAGCGCTGCAAATTCTTCAAATTTATAGGAGCATAGAATTTGATTTTGTTTCACTATTCTCGAACAGAAAATTCTGAAAAAAAGTTCGCGGCTTATCTTCTACATTGACATATAAATTAGATCGATTTATCGGGGCGCGCTCACAGATACGCGATTAAATTGCAAACTCGATAGATGGACATTAAATCTAATCCGATCTTATTCCACTCATCTTGGAAGTCGATCATATTATTCACTTGAAATAATATTACGCGAATTTTGACGAGCGCAATAGAAATTGTTTCAGCATATAAAATATTTCATTGAAATTGAAATATTGTCTCTACGATAACTGATATTTATTTATTCAAATTTTCTATTTTTTATATAATTATTAATAAAAATTGATTAATTATAATATTGATTAAAATATATCATTTTATTTTTTATACATATATCAATAGTGGGATATAATTTGTTTTTTTTTCTGTGTGCAGAATATAACAATGATCAAATTTTCTGCCGATGTTAATATATTGTAATAAGACATGTATTTAAAATGTAAAACAAATCATTTTAATTATAATAGGTTTTGTGTTTTTATATCATTTTTATCTATTCTTATTTTTCTCTGTTTTATTATTTATAATTTGTAATTATTATTAAGCTAAATTTGATAAAATAATCAATTTAGTTAAAAGATAAAATTATTTTCGAAAAGTCGACATTAGTTTTATGTGAAATGAGATTTTTTTTTTAGTAATCTGTGTTATAGAAAAAGATTCGAAAATCTTTGAATATCACGGTTATAATGGTATCACTTTACTTAAATTTTTACGAGCTTAATACGAAAGCGCAGAAAAATCTCCTCCGAGAGAAAATCTCATCGACAAAAATAGTTTTGTTCTTGCACTTTACTGCGTGAAGTTAATCGTGAACAAATGTGAAATATCGTGCACATGTACTGTTGAAAATCCCAAATGCTGTAGGATTATTAATAATAGTTACGCTAACGGCTGCTGCTATTATAATTCAATTCTTTATATAACGTTTTAACGTAATCTTTATAACGTTTTAATATTTTCTTAAAACGGTAAATATTTTTGATATTGATTTACTGCTAGAAATATTAGTAGTATCATGATACAATTGATCGTGATATAAATTGCATATTAAACAAGTTATATTAATGTCTTAATAAAGTAATGTGATTTACTAGTAAATAAAATATATTTAATATTTGACATGAAAATTAAAAATATGTTTCTGATATTTGTAATAACATTTTCTGTCTTCCTGAACTTTTTATATTTGATCGAAACAATAAAATTATATAAGTTTTCTGAAATATGTGAAAAGCTCTTTTGATAGAAATAGAGTAAAATATAAACGACAAACTAATGATTCAATATTTCCCATTTTTCATTTCTTGAAATTGCTGTTCTTGTGATTTTGTTATTATTATTGAGACTACTGCAACTTATTGTGTTCTTCCTTCACGAGAATAACGTAAAAATATTGTAGTAACTCAATTCTTCGAGTCTCTTGTCAATTTTTATATTGCGTTTTTTGTGATGCAGTTATTAAAAATACTAGGAAGCAAAGTAACCTTTTTTTTATTGCATTCAATGCAAATAAAGCACAGAATGAAATAAAAGAAGAAAACTATAACATATTTTTTTCACATATCGAGTAACTCACGTTCGCCCGCGAACGAACATCGAAATATCTGTGCTGGTAAACCGTTGGTTCCATATGGTGTTGCGGGGGTGAGAGAATCTTTTTTACAATTTTTTACGAGCAACTACCTATATATATATCGACTTTTCGAGGCGTGTAAAAAAGAATGTTCGAAGGGAGAAAGTTGCCGGTGGCGAAGTCGAGGTTGAATCAACCAGTGAGTAGCAAAACCGTGAGAGATCTTCATAGATTATACGAGATGCGTTTGCCGTGAAGGGTCGCGACGGTGGTCCAGATGGGGTGTGGCGCAAAGAGAGGGTAGCATTTAGGCGCGTCTGGGTTTTATGAGGCGCATACGGCGTATGCTTCTCCCTTCCTCCGAGACATCGACATACCTTTCTCGCCCAACATTCCTTCAGAGATGCTGTCTGATGTCACGGTCGAGGCCGCGCGTTTATTGCGACGTAAAACGTATTACGGCATTATCATTAGAGCGGATATTTTACTTGAAAAATGAAAAGTTTCCTTATACTCTTGTTCTAGCTCGAAGTGATCGATTAGTCTGACTGGTCGCGATTTTCTACGCGCGGAATTTTAATTAAATTCTTCGACGTTAACCTTTTCAGGTCCAGTGATTCCACTTGAAATCACTAAATTTCAGCATTATGCATTTATTATAACCGGTATCGCGAGTTTTTGTAGATAGATTTGTAGTTAGACTTGCTTTTGCCGGAGGAGAAAAATCCTTTTAGTATAGTATCTGTTTGTGCACATAACTTAATATCAGTTAGAAAAACTGAGAATTCACAGTTAAAAACATTAATATTTGACGAAATTATTAAAAATATTAATTTAATAATATTAAAATGTTAAATCTCAATTTTTTAATTATTTGTAACTTTTACGTTTATAGCGTTTACATTTTTATGTCTAGTAAACAGGACATTTGCTTAACTACACCCACGCGTTGAACTTTTGTTGATATTTCCAAATATAATACAACATATATATAATTAACAGTATAAATTAAACACGAAAATATGTTAATTACAAACAAGATAACAAACATTTTTTAATGCTACACATTTTCAAAATATCTGTATTTTATGCATAAATATTGATATTTTTGCATATAATACTAGTTTTATTTATTTTTGACACGTATTTATTAAAATCATATTAAAATAATTTATTTTTTTATTTACATAATATTATTCAAGCATATTTGAAATAGTTATTAATAGTTAAGTAGGAAAAGCACCAAGCTAATTGTGACAATAATTATTCGTCATTTATTGTCTGGATAATAAAAACTGTTGTATAACAGTTTTCTTTATTCTTCAGACATTGACTAATGATCGACATTGAACGGTTAATTATTAAATTTGGCACAACTGTTCACCAATGAACGTAATAATGAGGAAACACGATGCGATTTTTCTAGTAATAGGTGGGAAAGATACTATGACTAATAAAAACTTTGTTTCATGTCGACAGATGTTCAAAGTTGTCAACGTTGTGGAAGTACGATATAAGCGAGTTCTTTCTTTTATGAAATAAAACATCCCTTTCGTGTCGACGAATTTATTGGGGATTGTAACTCTTTTGCGAAACAAAATATGTGACAATTTTGACATATTCTAGGACATCACTATTTGTGTTACATAAATTGCTCGTCAGAAAATTATGAATTTAATTGAAAGTTTCTTGTTTATTAGAAAAGTTTTATATTTTTTTGATTAATAAATTTTAAACCCAAAATTAAATTTTGTTTTGAAATACATGAATTATTAAATAAAATATTGTAATAATAGAAATAAAAGTTCGATTTTTCAAAAAAGATATCGCAGTTTTATGGACAATTATATATTATTTATTATAAATACAGCTGAATAATACATGTAATTGATAAATAAATCCAGTTTGCTTTTCTACGATGCGATTGCTTCATGACGCACGATTGCTTTCTATTTGCTAGATATAGATTATGTACTGTATATATACATTATTGTTTATTATGTTTATTAAAGCGTTTTGAGTAAAAATTTTATTATTTCTCAAAGAGAAGTGATACAATCAGATTTTACATAGCATGCATTTTTACGAGATATTATCATCCATGAATATGATCATTTTTTGAAATACAATCTAATTTTTTGTTAATGTAAATTGCAGTACAAATCGAAATGTAAATATGTATCTCAATCAGTAGATACAAATTGCATTGCTATTTTAAAGTTGAATGCATACACAATTTCGAAATAATTATTCCATTTATTTAATTTTACATATAAATTAATTCAAAAATTCTTGATACATTGTGTGATATTTTCTTTCCGATCGAAACTATGACTTAAAAAATGTCTCGATTGTAAACGTCAAAGGGATAATCTAGGTCGTAAAATCACATTTCTCATTCTGCATAATTTGCATTATAATGATGTTTATCGCGCATTTAATGCC